AATATGCATATATATTACATGAAAAAAGTTCTTAGATCAGTTTAATGGAAAAAATGAAAACTACATGTTTTTTGGAGGTTGACATAAATAATACGCAAAATGAATGATGCGAAGAATGTTAATGCTGGATTTTTCTGTGTGACAGGTCGAGATACAATCAGAATGACGATATCTCGGTATTAACGAGATAATATAAAGGGCTATCCTTTAGGGTATTGCCTCATGATAAGGAAGAACACTTAGTCAGTTACATAATGAGTTGTCAGACCTGGGACATGCCAATGACAAGAAAAGTCATAGTTTTTTGCGAGAAACATTATTGCGAAAAATGGGTGACAATTAACTTTATCTCCTTGTTTTCCCTCTAATGAATGGTTCAGGAGTTTTCTTTCTTGTCACCCAAGAGACTCCGTGAAGATTAATGGTGGCAGGACCAGGATGTCAAATGAGACTGTCCTGTCATAACTCTGCAACAATTAAAAGGTCAGGTATGCTTCAGTTATCATCAATACCTCGATAGAAAGTATTCAAGACTTGAATAAAAACAAGTTTTGTCAGCATACGATTTGAAAATGGACAATGTAATCAAGTAAATTTGTGTTTAAGTAAATAAAAGATTACTTAGCAATGTCAGTATTATGCATTTGTAACCGTTTAATCACTTCTTACCGATATCATTTAATCAGTCCAAGAGATACATTTTTGTCACCACACACTTAACTCAAATGTAGATAAATATCAACATAATTAACATACATTTGTCCTCTTACAGGTGTTGTTTGAATGTACAGACGGGGTTCTCTGGTACGTATCTCGAAACCGACAAAAATACTGATATTAGAATGATGAAATATGATTATATATTAATACTGTTACAGATTGAATGACAGAATCATAGGTAAATGTACTTAAACTAAAGTGAGAAATAAATCATACATTAACACTGATGATGGAATGATATCCTGTGATATGATTTCAATAACGTCCCATTAAAATACTTCAAGTGAGTTATGAAAACAGGATAGTACCTATTGTCTTTTACATCTTATAATCAAGAAACTGATTAAAAAAATCACGATGACTATAGCGTTTATAAATTTTATTCAATGCAACCTTCACGTCCAATGCAATTAAGGAAATATTCTTTCGCTGATGTATGATAAATGATTGCTATGTTTTTCAAATCCGGGCATTAAGTTCCATGTTGTAAGTAGTCGCTGTTCTTGAAATTGTAGATGTGAATGATGGTTCTTCTTCGGAAAAGGAATTAAGATATTATATATGTTATATATTATTTTTTCTCGGCATTAAACTGCATACAGAAATCCCTAATCTGTTGAAATGTGTTGCGTTTTTATGTCGTCAGAGCACTATATAAATATTTTTCGTGTATTATCACATTACAGTATCTCTAGATCTGACATGATACAATAGAGTCATCCTTTTACATTACAATATTCTGCCTTTGAATCACGCTAAGCTGAACTCATCATTGTAGCTGTAGATACCCTTGTTGAAGACTTCTGTTTTGATAACAGTAAAACTGATTGTATGATAGTTGAAAGCTTCTTCAGTGAGGATGTTAAAATTGTTCAATGCAGGCGAAGATAAAATGACGATAGTGTAAAATCTCTTTTGTGCCGTTGTTGGAACTTCAGTCGATAAATGAATGAAAGCATCACGGTTCTTTAACTTTTCAATAATATATGTTGACGAAAAGTTACAATGTAGTGTTACGAATCCACTTCTGTCACGTGAGGTGGCAAAATTGCTTATAGACGTGGATATATAGGCCGGTACGTTGATGGTATGACTGGTGCTTCCGCATGGGATGGTACAGATAGTGATACAGATGTCATAAGAGTCTGACTTCTGTATGTTTCATTGCTATAGCTTTATCTCTCTTTCTTTGTACATTTGTACCCTACACAAAATATAAATACAAATAACAAAACAGAACCAATCACAGAGAAAAAAAAGAAGGAAATATTGTTTATAATCCCTAAAATTATTTCCAGTGGATTCAATTTCAGATGATTTCTGAATTAGTAAATTCATGAATATATTCTTGTAAATTTCATGTAATTTATTAGGCAAAAATTAAATTGCTTTGAAACTTGTTTTGAAAGGGTCTTCATAAATACCTCATCATTATATTTGGTGAAACAACTAATGTAAAGCGATCGCCAAAGTCTGGGCATGAACTCGGGAAATGAATAAACTAAAAAGGGGTTTAAGTCCTAAACATGATATTTTACCAGTATCATGGCGTACAATGGAAGAAAATTGTATTTCCATGTTTGATAATGATCAAAGAAAAATGAGCAATGTGGTTCGCTAAAGAGGGCTGCAGAACCAGAACAGTAATAGTAACATAATACCTATCAATATTTAATTTTGTTGACAACGAATGTTTAAACTAATTTGGAATATAGGAGGATGAAGCGCATTTCCAACAAAAGGATGGATAGAACGTTTAGACAAATGTTATGATCGTAGATTAGAAAGTGTAAACAATAATGAATTATGTTTTGACCCTTCGGGTGATAGTATCGTGTAAACTCTTAATTTTACCAGTATGATTTTTGATTTGAGGGATTATTAAGGTTTTGAATTAGGTAGTAATAAAGAGTGTTGTGATTTATGAGTGTGTGTACTGTTTTTGCCTGCTGCTGTATTGGTGTGTGTGGTAGGTTCCTGTGTATTTTATTGCAGTCATGTTATGATTCGATAGACTTTAACCTAGAAGCAAGTAGTACTATCCATATGTTCTTTCTCCCTAAATGATTGTAGATGTGTATTACGTGTGTTATGGGTAGACCTTGATGATTGTGGATGTGTGTGAAGTGTGTTATTGGTAGACCTTGATGATTGTACATGTGTGTGAGGTGTGCTATGGGATAATTAAACATTATTGGTTGTAGATAGCTTGTAGATATATATGTCAAAAATATCTAACTAAAATTATCTTTTGGTATAAATGTCCACTTTAAAAAAGAACATAAAGTAAATATACTTACCGAATTACTGATCATTGACTGTAGTAGATTAATTCTTTGAATGCAACCCATCTACTATATGGATGCTGGATTGGTCGCTAATTGAATTACATGTGTAAACATGTAGGACTTTCTCCTCTCCTTTTGTAGTGACCAAGTTTGCTTTGACTATATAATGGGGTGTTACTTTGGACCTGTTACTAGGGACTTAATTGGGATCATTATGTCATGTGTATTGTCTTTTTTGGTTGTCTGGTCGATTTGCTGATCCCGACAATTGTCCCCTAGTGCTTCCAAATTTATAGAGTATCAGTTGGTGTATTATATGTTTTAGAAGTTTTGTTTTCGTGTGAGATTAAAATCGCACCGATTAGTAACGCAACATTCTTTGTTCGAATGGTTCACCAGAGATACAATGTATTTCAGACAATATCAAACTTTTTCCATCCGATGTTTAGGGCTGTAAAACGATGTATATCAGGTAATAAGTCTTCCACTTAATCATTAATGAAACTGTTTTGACTACAATAGATACTCAACCATCGCGCTTTGAGCTAATTCTACATTGATTGCATCATGCCGGAAATAATATATAATAGGATTTTACCACGTTTTGTCCTTTTATACGAGGGTTTTACAGTAAACAAAAAATCCAATTGACTACAGACTTCAGTTCTTATCTTGTTCTTTAAAGTAACATGTAAATCAATGTAATTAGCATAAATACACAGGTAAAAATAAAAGAGTGGCGATATAAAGAGATCCTGAGGACAAAACAAAAAGTTATAATGTAATAAAAAAAACTTATTATCCAGTATAGTAAAACACAACTCCATTAGTCGCATACTGAAAGCCTTATATTTCCCACGGCAATAAGTATTATTCTTAGTTCTACGAATCAGTGCAGCATAACTTACCGTTATGCTATGTGCAAATATGTAGATGAATGTTATTTCATTTATGGAGGGGGTAGGGGTTGGGGGAGATACTCGGTCAGAGTGATGCAAATCTTAATATCCCATAACACATATCTCTACCCCAATCCAGATATATAGGATAGCTTTAAAACTTTTACAAACTACTAAATAGATTTAAAGGATACCCACTTCTTTTTTTATGCATATCAAACCATGACTCTTCCGTTCATAAATAAATGCATTGGGCCTTAAGTCGTATAAATTGAAACCTTTCCTCTGAGTTTGTGGAGCAGGAGATTCACACCATACACAGTTCTGAGAAATTATATTCACTTGTCTGTTATTTATACAGCTTTTTGTAAAGGAAATTAAAACTGTGCTTGTTAATACATTTGCAGCATGAAACTCTCTGGTATTAGCCTGTTCATATCTTTCATATAATTATCAACGTTTTTTGTCCTATGTATTTCAATTTTCAACGTAAAACTCACAGAATCTATGTTTTCACTTATTTCTATTATGAACTATTGATTGAATTGACAGAATTTCCACACAGAACGTGTTATGTGTTATTTGCCTGGGTATAAAGTTGACTTGTTCGAGCTATAGCGCAGTGACAATACATACTTTCCAGCAGACAGCGACATGCCATTCTTTCCATATGCAGCCTACGGCTTAGTTTCACAATGGTATCACACTGTATGTAAACATCGACTGAAAGTGTATGATTCATAACATATGTATCTTAATTTGAAATAAAATGCTAACATTTCCAGTGAATATAACTTGTAAAACGCATGTATCGTACACTTTAGTATCAATTTTTTCAAGTTTTAATTTGAAATGTCTTTGTATAAAATGTCAGATTATTGGAGAAATATAACTGGCCTGTATTTATGCTTCTATGTACATTTAATACACATGAAAGATAACAAAACAACATATTTTGTGCATTAATCGTATTGTACTTACTATGTATTTGTGCATGTCAATAAGACAACAGAGTCTCTGTTACCAGAAGAACACATATAAAATATAATCATCGTAGTTATTATATTGACGGACAGTAATCGCCACTACTGACCATGGACGTACTGACCATCATACTTCTGATAGTGCTGGTTTACTGTGTTAACAGTACGACACTACCGAGGAGACAACCGAACCTTGGAACAACCACATGTTCAGGGATAAGGAAAAACAACTTCTATAGTTATGACCGAGGATCACCTATAGGTAATTTCAATGCTATCAATGTTTTCATTTTAGGGGTTCTATTGTAAGTTTTTTTTCGAGAATGAATAAAACTACACTAAAAAGAAAAGTGATACGATAACATTAATAGATAAACCATTGTCTGTTTCCTGAAATCTGAGATAAATGTATGTCCAAAGCTTTCGGCTTAACTATATCATTCAAAATAAAAAAAATGATGAAAACTCCAATGTGATTTGTTGACATTTATATCGAGCAATTTGGATATTTCTGAGTTTTAACGATATCTAGTGTCATTGTACATTACTAAGTTATGTTGTTTCTGAATAACGAAACAGCTGTATGATACTGTGTTTTATTATATATTAGTATAGAGCTGCACTAATCACTGGTATTTTGTAAATCCTTCGAACAACGAACAGGCCCGCGGCAATGGTGGAGGTGTTACGATGAGTGTAATGGGCCCCATCAGAGCCCTATTGATATAAGATTGAGGACCGTCCGGTGTATGGGATCTGGCGAAGAAGAAATCCCTGGATTCTTATGGTACAAAAGTCCTAAAGGATATGCCAGAGGAAGTTTTGTTAACAATGGTATACATGGTTTTCACTTTTCTTTCGGTACTTTAGGATTGATACTGTTGTGACGGTTTCTGTTATTGTGCACAATTATTTATCTACCTTGTAAATATATAAATAAATAATTACATACACACACTGATCAGTTTATTCCTTCTTCCATTATCCTGAGTTTAATTTCTCTTCTTAATCGTTGTATTTTATTTAATAACTGCTGACAAGTCAAAAAAGACGAAATAGCTGTATGACAAAGTTTAATTCATTATATCGCTCAACGTCATTTGATTCTTTTTTATTGAAAGGTGCTTATTATTAATGTCATTTGAACAATATTTACGCCATTTGTTGTTTAACATTAACTATATTCCTGACATATCATTAAACATATTCTCCCACTTTATTGTGAAACATTTTCAGATTTTCGCTACGCGATTCTATATATCTAACCATGACGTAAAACGTTGTGCTAGGTGGACAGTTTTTATTTTAAAGTTTCCATATTTCACAGGTCATACTAGTACATTTTCACTACTGAATCACGGTAATGTTCGCACGTATGGTAAAGTACTGAGAAACGTTCCGCACGAGGAGGACACCGACTACGTGTTTTCTGAACTGCACTTCCACATTGGTGCAAACGGAAGTCGGACAGGATCGGAACATCGGATCAATGGGAAGGGCTTCCGGGGTGAGGTAAGGTACTAAAGTTAAATGCATCAAAAGTACCTTTTTGTTAAATATCTGAGTCAATGATTATATTTGTTACATAACTGTCAATGTTTGTGTTTATAATATATCTAAGTCAATATCTAAAATTTTTTTAAGTTTCCCGCCATATTTCATATATTTGCTATCAAGGTTTCTTTTCAACAAAACAGCGATCAAGTTTTCTTCTATTATCAATATTTGTTGTTTTTTGTTTATTATTCATGACTTAGTTAAACCATTACAGCCATGATTCCTATACAATTACTACCAAAGTACGTTAGACCTTTGGGGAAGTAAATGAGACTATTGCTTTACGGTTCTATGTTATCAGCTTGTGGCTGCTTTTGATATCAACTGAAGGTTTTTTCGCTTGAAGATAAATGGATATGTGAAACTGACATTTCTTAATTTCGTTAATCACTAGATTCATATGGTTCACTGGAAGAGGACTCGGGAGATGAGGACATACGTGGAAGGGTCAAGAGCAAACGATGGTGTGGTGGCTATTGGTATCTTCTTCAACGTACGTTTTGGGGGCGTTTTACGGTCGTAATAGTGACCTCATTGAGAACTAGTAGATTTCTTTTTGTGAAATGCTAGATGTGTGATGCTCGTTTGATTTCGGATTATGAATATGTTGACATATTTTTAACGATCTAATAACATGATTTGATAACTATATATATCCTGACATTATCCCGTTAAAAGTAACATCTAATGATAATGTGTTCCCTATACTATCGTTATTACTAACTCTATTATACCATTATAATGAAATAACAATACTCATTAACTGATAATGAATGTAGTAGAACACGGATTAAACAGTTAGCGTCTGTAATATTGTCTCTGTCGACATTCATATTTGGTTGTTGAAACGTAACCATATTTTGATGTATACGATTCGCGATTTGAATAGTAATTTCACAACTTACGTGAAAGTATTTACCTCACTTTAATGAATTTGTTTACTTCCTCAAATGCGCGTTTCTAGTGTTTTTGTTATTTAACAAGAGGAAAGAAATATCACTATTTCATAATGTGATAAGCAGGATCCGTTTGGATATTGAAATAGGTAGTGAGGCGCTGTCACACGGAGGCGGATAGACTTATATTGAATTACGTGTCCCATACAAGAAAATACCTGGCAGTGAAAGGTAAGTGACGGTGAGACACGTGTCCTCAATATAAAGATACCTGACAGTGAAGGGAAAGTATGAGTGAGACATGTGTCCTCAACATTAAGATTCTTGACAGTTAATGGTGAGTAAGATTGAGACTTGTGTCTTTGACATAACAATACCTGGCGGTGAAAGGTAAGTAAGAGTGAGACACGTCTTTCACATAAAAATATCTAGCGGTGAAAGGTAAGTAAGGATGATGCATGTGTCTTTCACATAACAATACTTGGCAGTGAAAGGTTAGTAAGAGTGAGACACGTGTCCTTCACAGAAATAGATGTCATATAAGAAGATGTAAGTCTGTAACGCCACGAAATTCAGCGTATCACATTATTTTATACATACTTATGTACATAAACGGTGTGACATAAAGGATGAACATAGTTTAAACTACTATTGACCAGCAAAGGTTACTCTCAGACGGTCAGCACAGATTAATTAAATAATTATAGGGCTTATATATGAGAGCATAAATAAATATAAATGTCGGATGAAATAATGCGGGGAAAATAATATGTTGAAATAATTCACTATTTCTTACATGTTCTTAATTATGTCAATGTATTTCTATTCATCTATTATATTTATATAGAATTCCGCCTTAACGTTTATTATTTATAAAATTGAAACATGAATACTTATTATTTTCAGAACCGGCGTTTGTAAACCCCAGTCTTTTACTTCCGGCTGATGGTAGATATTTTACATACGAAGGATCTAAAACCACGCCCCCTTGTAATACGAATGTCAGATGGATAGTGTACAAAACACCAACAACAATCTGTTACAGGGTAAGTCAGTTTTAGTATTACATATATATATATGTGTGTGTGAATGTTTAAATAATTAGATAAGTAGAACAAAAAATTAATAATTTTGAGGTAATGTATACCATTAATCTTTTACCTATCAGTAAAAGTAACTGTAGCCCCTTTGCTTTCTAATTAAAGACTGTTTTCAATTGCCTAACATATGCGAAACTAACTTTCATGTAAACTGTCTTATGTTTGATGTTAAACACTTCTAGCTCCAGTCCATTGTGATTTTCTCAATTTTTCCTCACAAAACAAATTACTTGTTTTATCTGATAAGTTGTTAACGTGATACTTGATGTATATGTATCGATGAAATAAAATCTGTATTGGATAAGATTAATGTACATATATAGCTTGTAAGGATCGCTTTCAAGTAGGATATCTTTCTCTCTATCTGTACTTCAACATAATTGTACAATCACGTTTAATATATTAACGATTTGCTGAAATATTTAATTTCTGTAACGATTATCTTCTTTTATTTTACGTTGTCTTTTCCGTTATTTGCAGAGTTACAGGGTATTAATGGGACTGCAAGTGGCAGAGGTTGGTCACCCTTTTCTGCGAATGTTTGGAAATGATCGTCCCATTCAGAACAATGGCATTTACAATGTACAAGGTAATTTCCTGCGATGTGATTAAATATATCAATTACCATATCACAATCTGTAGTACGATATATATATATATTATTCATTAAATGGTTATAGATATTTTTTCGATAGGAGGAAAATTGAGCGCGCTATTTCAACTTATGATTGATTTTTTTCTTTAGTGCATTAACGTAGCAATCGTTATCCATGCATTCTTCTTAAAATCTATTCATGAATATGCGAAATAACAAACGCTTAAGAAATACTAAAACGGAAGGCGAAGCACCATTTATCGCTGACAACTATTGAGTTTTACAGATTGCTGTCAGTTCCAAATGGTACAAATGCAGTAAAATTTCCTTTCTTTCTTACTACACATCGATGTTTATCGCAGTTCATTGCGATTTCGGGAAGAACAGACTAGACAAGTGAATCTGTGACATGGCGACCTAAATCTTGACATCTTGTTCTAACTCAACAACTGAAGTCTAATGTACAGCCACTAAAGTGGAAGTCATTGCCGCATGTCACAGCAGATATAACGTAACAGTTCCGCATGATCAGGTCGATCATCTTCTGGTTTACTCATACAGATAAATTGAAACTGAAGACATATAACCCGGTCTGCTCACAGCGGATGATGCCTGAATAACGACTACTACCTTTGTATGTGATGATATCGACTGACCAAGACTAGGGCTTTCAACAACATAATCCAGGATCACATTGAATCCTATCAAGGTGTTAACAGATAAACTAAATTTTGAATTCAATGAAATGTTCTTTACTAAACAGTGTTATAACTGATCATAATTATCTCTCTAAATCAACAGTTTTTCAGATAATGACATTAATTCTATAAATATGTTTTTATTGTCAACAAGACTCATCTTCTAAATGGACAAATATGTTTCTTGTGCAAAGTTAATGTTATTAAAAGGAGTTTTTATATAATCATTGGTATAAAGAAAACAGGAATTGTAAATTGTTTTCTGGAAGTGAAAGTTTTTGTCGTCATGCATGAAAATTGAAGCAAAGACAATGTATTTGTCAGGGAGAACAAGGAAATATAATTTCCGTGTAACTTTTGTTATGTGTATCAAATACATATGAGTTCAATGTAATTTTTCTGTTAATTTTACTTATCCCAAAGATTGTGAAAAATAATCAATTCAAAACTGCAATATCATACAATCGACATGAAAACTTGTGTGACTCGGATATACAGTTCAGATACTCGACTTTTGATAGGGAAACTCTCTAGAAGTTTGTCGGATATGTCATTGATGAGTCCAGCCCGACTCCTGTAGGTGACTGGTAGAATTCTTCACTCCAAGAACCGTATTTATTGCTGTCTAATTTACTATAGATTACCCTTGTTCATTAATATACTTACTAGTTTCCAGTCCGTGTAGATTTGTGATACGATTTTCTGGAATCTTTTTCTGTCACACTTTGATATTTCTAGCAAATCGCTGACTTGTAGAATTTTCTGAAGTTTTGTGCGTCTTTGAAGAATGTAAACATCGTTGTTGCGACGAACGTCCATGTTCTCATTTCTGAAATAGATGTTACACGATATAACAGCGCACATTTCGGAATATTGGTCAGCAGTTGCTAGTCGATTCTGTAGACCAGATATAACAGCATAAACAAGATATTACATGTAACTCCACACTGGATCTTCTAACAACTAAAGAAAACGTTTTGATAAAGGTAAATTCGTAGCGAGATAACCTGAACGATATTTATACTATAAGTAAGTGTTTATCTAGCATGTTGCCACTTAAGGAGATCAAGATTCAGATACTACGCAATGCTGAATTGTTTTCTACCTTATTCGTATACGAGACGGCGACACTTCATGCTTGTAAATGAACTGACCAATATTTAAGAGGAGGATGACCTCGGTAAATCACAAAAAAACTATTTCAAACGCATGGCCTTATACGCTTTATGTATTTTCTCCGTGTAAATATTTTGTTTGCTAATATTCTTTCTTCTTGAATAGCGAGAAAACTCTAACATGGGAGAATATTAATGTAATCCTAGCTTGCTATCGCATCCGCACGTTTATAGACTCAACCAAAACAGAAACACACAATTAAATCATACAATCAATAGCCTATGCTATCTAGGGAAATTTGTACACATTTTTATATCACTGTGAAGGGATAAGTCTAGTCTTTAAAAATGACACGTCATTACCTGGTGTGGGCACCTGTTGTACGAATCCCTGCACGGATTCTCCTGTGGATTGCATTCATAAGAACATTAATTCGCCTTAAGGGAATGTTGTTCCATTCTTGTGTTAGGGGGGAGGGGGACGTTTCATAATATGCCTGTCCAGCTAATCCCACAGATGCTCAATGTGAGACATGTCGAAGCTATACGGGAGTTATTCCAGAGACTGACGATGTTTGCCGTGAGCAAATCACGCCACGTAATGACGCCTGAGAAGTTGAAGGACATGTGGTTGGAATATCTGGCCGCTATCGAACGGCATTGAGGTTTGGATCCAGGACCACTCAAGGGCATTTTACTCCATGGGAGATGCCTCCCCAAACCATTACAGAAGCCCCACCGAATATATAGCGTTCAACCGCGCATGCGTCAGCGAAAAGCTCACCGCGTCTACGATAAACCCTTTTTCTTTCGTCGGAGCGATACAGATAGAATCTAGACTCGTCGGATAACATCATACACCTCCATCGACGCATCTTAAACATATTCATGCCATGCCTGCGCATCCAGTCAAGAACCACTTGCCGCCTCCGTGGTGTCAGAGATGGCCCGACATAAGGTTGTCGGGCAATGATTCTCTCGGCACGCAAGCAGTTCCAGGCATTTTGAGGAGTACTGGGTCTGCCATTAGTACGTAAGGTAGGCGATGCAGTCTCTACAGCATTCTTCAATCTGTTGCGCAAGTGCGACAATCCAATTACCCTGTATTTAGTGCGGTCGTTACACGCGGACGACTATCCCAGTAGCATGGAAATGTAATAGAGACGGATAATTGTACACGGGGCAACGCAAAACTGCCGTGCGACAGCAGTTTGGCTATGACCATCCATCAACATCGCAATTGCTCTACCCCCATGAATTTGCATTAAGCGTGGCATCTCGGTCAATGGCGAAATCAAAATGCCAGCGTGGAAATTAATGAACTTAGAGTATCCGTTGAAATCGTTCGTTTGTAAAACGGCTCGGCTTGATCACACCGCGATTTGGACTAAAGGAACTCACGGAAAATGACATCGTCATCGTCATACGTGGCTGATTTTAGCGTAGATTGTCGAGAAGGAAATCATGCTTGATGTAAACCCTGATCAAATATTATTAAGGTGTAATGTAGGTGGTGGGAGGCGGGGGGGTTGTTTTTTTCTGTTTTGTTTGTTGAGTATACAATGAAATACAAAAAATAACAATAATAACAACAAAAACAAGCTAAACAAGATAGGACTGCTAACCAACTTAGCAAGATGATGACCAAGAGATAAGTCAGTCGATGTCATCAACCTGCATCTTTCGAAACAATATATTGGTACGTTTTTACGTCAGCATCTTCCCAGTAATCTGCTGTAAAGGAACATAGATGGAAAATTCGATCACTTACCTGGATAATTCTATCGCCATTATTACAATGGATATCGTAATAATCTAGGTCAAACTATATGCTCTAATCTTTTAGTACGCATGTTCGGCTCCCTTTCTCTCTTTCCCACTATTCGAATGTCATATTTATCAATAAATTGAGGATTTGTCGTAACCTGCAAGTCAAACTTTAATTCATTCGAATATTGATACGGTTCAGAATGTACATATGTATTTCACTTTGTTCTACATTTTTCAGGTATGTGAAAATTAGGAAATTTAATGAATCATGAGTCTAGTGCAAATCCCCAACTAGATTTCGCGTTTCATATTAAAACTCTCATAGAATTTTCCTGTTTGACGTCACAACGCCAATATGTAAGTGATATTTGATTATTGTAAAATCAAGACCATATTCGGTGCCCTTTAGACCTTGAGATTGAAAACCTTACTAGCAGGATTTGGAGTAAATCGTTTGAGCACAACATGTTCCAAATCATGTCGGCTGTCAATGTGTTATATGTCACTGATCTGACATATTTATTAGTGAAGGTATATTTACTTAAAATAAAATTGTCGTCAGAACAGCGTCTAAGGAAACGCTTTGAGGAGATAGATTTGTAAAGGTTTTTACGCTTTTCAGACCTGAGTAATATTTGATGGCGTTACCATTATCAAAATGTCATTTGCTTTTTATAATCTGCCGCAGTGTTCGCCTATCTATTTTCGCATATAAGATAACACTAATTTTCGACAGGAAATCGATTGTCTGCACAGATATTGTGACACATTGAATATCAGACCAATTGTCGGCGTGTAAATTCACTGAATGTCGATAAGAAACACAACCTGATATCGCAATTGCAGTATTTACAGGACTGTCTAATATATATAATTACTTAACGATGGAATGAAATTGTCGCTTCATAATACAATACAATACATACGTTCGCGCAGATATTAATTTCTGATTATATTTCAAATATTTTTCGCAATAATAGTAGAAAACGATACGTTTTGTAAGATAGTTCTAGGCTAACAATACTTAAGTCATGCATCTGTTGACACTAAGTCCGCATTTGTGACCTGCATACCTCGGGTGACGATCGTAGGTATAGGAACTCACTACATGCATAAGCGGTTTAGTTGTCAAATTTTTCATCGCTACGAAGAAGTGAATAAAGACACATCTTTCGATATACAGAGATTTACCTAATTGAATCAAAAGAGGATGTGACATTTTCATGCATAATCTGCTAAGAAGAAGAGGAATTTCCCCTTGCTGTGTATATATTCTGAGACCAGACATACCTTTTTACGCACATCGGATTATCTACTATTAAAAAACCAAAAATCAGGAAAGATGGTACGTATTGTCTTCGGCGTATAAAGGCTTATAGAATATGTCCACATAATTGGAGTTAATTACAACTATCCGAGATTATTATTGAGTGTTCTGGGTTTCCTTTGGTCTGACTAATTACACTTATAATGTAGTGTTTGGTCGCCCTAGGTAAAGACAACAAAATATAAAGATTGTAAGTGCTGATGAAATCAGAGTAAATAATGTTTGACAACATAATTTACGTGAATGTGGACTTTGCTGTAAATCATAAAATAGCAAGTCATGGAAGACATTGGGGTCTATTTGTGAAGGTAATGTTCGAGCGATTACTATACTGCTAAATAAGTGAGTTTAAGAGGGGAAAGTGTATAGTGCCTTGCTCATAAATCATGACTGAATCATTCTTTCATGTTTGCCATTGTATGGTAATGCTATGGTGTACCTTACCAAAATCAGTTGCATATTACCAGTTAATGGACTGCCAACAGCTAGGAACATTGCAAATTACGTAAACAAACTAAGGTATCAAGATGAAAATTGAAAAGGATAAGTATTGCAATGGTTTCCGATATCCATATCGAGTTGGCATTTATATCTCCGGGGATGTCAAATGAAAGCACATCATTTCGGGACCTGATCTTAAGGTTGGTAATGTCAATAGCAAAGAAGTCAATGATCATGCGGTTACCTTCATCAGACAATGACCAGTGTTAAGCGTACCAACACTGATTTACGTCATGTAAGAGATGGTCGTCAGAACTTTAATCCAATGTACACAAAGGTAAAAATTTGTGTGAGATGATAAACTGATTATAGAAATAAGTACACAAGATGGCAACGGTGTACTTTAGCCAATTCAACTACACTTTGGTTTACACTTGAAAATAGGTATGTGAAAGTCTGTGGCAACCCGGGCCCTGTTTAGTACAAGCCTGATGCAGCTTACCCAGTTGACTTTCATAACCATCAGTCTGAAAAGTTAGTTTTCCTTGTCGACTATTATCCAATGATATCATTTTGTAATGTGGATTGAGCTGTGAGCATTTTTTTGTTTATCTTAAACTGAAAATGTCTTCGCTCTGCATTAGTGAATATTTTGCCTTCTTGGGAGATTATAAACAATATTTTTTATTTTTTATATCAAAATGGGGTGAAAAATAACTTTCAGAAGAAATGAATGAATATTGTAATATGAAATGTATCCCAAATTTCTTTTATGTAGACACAGATACCAAAGTCCGCACCTCTCTTCTTTGGCCCACTTCTATGCTTTTCTACCCATATATATGTGTCTCTTGATCTTGGAGCCCAATATTTGAAATCAGATTTCAAAATTGCAGCAAAAATGCATTTTAATACAAAAAAAAATATTTTCCAATTTTTTTATTTACAGCATCAGGAAGTTATTTAATTAGTGCCACATTGATCTTAATGGTGTCTTTTAGGTGGTGAATTTCAAATGATTCTCGAGCATTATATATTTATCATAACTTTGTTGGTCTAACATTAAATTCTATCTATGAAATTACTTATCATGACATTATTCAACCGTGTTAATTCATATTTCATTCACTTTTTATTAAAAAAACTAATGTCTCTTTCAAACAAAATCATAAAAATACAAATAAAAATTGAAACTGTCAAATTCTTTTATGAACCAACAGTCTTGCATGGTGTATGAGTAAAGTTAAAAAGTTATTCTTAATGAAAATACAGTTTCTCATCTTTCTTGGTTTTTTTTCTTTTTTGTTTCAGTTGCCGCTGCATGAAATTATTCGTTATGAACCAAAGACTGGGTTCGGATTCATATTGCTGACCTCGGTCATCAGTCTTGTAATTAGTACAAACCCGTGTCCATATAATTATGCTGTGTGTAAGATTGAAAACTCAACACTACCGGAACTATGCTGTATCAAAGATTGTTGTAATGTAGAATCGTCATGTCTTAACGATTACATACGATGTGTTTGTAGAACTAGGACTTTATGGGATAAGTTCGATTTAACCCCGTTAGATGTGGAATACACAACAGTGCGTGGATCCTCTGTAGTGAGTGGACGTGATGATATAAAAGCCAGGCTGGAGCATACAGATGGTTATCTTAACGCTCTTCCTAGTAACATATGTCAGTACCAGTTATTACTATATATTGATGTTAGTAATAACAGAATAAAGGAAATAGGAAATATTTCATGTCTTTCTCAGTTAGATACTTTAGATCTAAGTGAGAATCGTATCTCATTAATTAACAATCATACATTCCAAGGACTTGTGTCATTGCGAAAACTACATTTGGCACGTAACAGGATAAGCTATATAGAACCGTATTCTTGGTCTCATCAGACCTCCTCTATATTAGAAATTCAGCTGGATGATAACGAACTGTTGAACATTGATGTTACAAACGTCATTATTAATAGACCATTCTGTGAACTTAGTTACGTTCGCAACAAAATAGAAAATGTTGTCAATGAAGCTGGCTGGAAATTAACAGCGGCAGATACCATCGTCCAAGGCGGGATGGTACAACTTACGGAGAATAACCTGACAGGCATCATCAACTTCCTTGAGCTTGGTGTCGAGGACATCGCAGTCTTTGGCAAAATATTTTCATATGGAATAGACATGCATGATGTTCCATTTAGGTGTGATTGTGAAATGGAGCCGTTCTTACTTATGGCTGAATCTGCTCTCCAGATGATATGGAGGTCTTACTTTAATATGTCTTGCTTTTATCCAGAAGAGTTGCTTCACCGTCCAGTACCAGATCTTGTAAGGACTCGGCAGTTCGATCTTCTTATATGTGATATCCCTAAGACCGAAAACTGCCCTTACAATTGTTCTTGCTATAAACAACCCAGTAAGGAACGCGTTGTAGTGAATTGTTCAGGACTTGGACTGAATAAAATGCCAGAGATTCTCCCGAGAGAAGATCTACCACTTGAGATATTCTTAGACAATAATCAAATAACCGATTTGTCTCCGCGTGGATACCTTAACCGAACGAAGAAACTAAGCTTAACCAACAACACGATCACAACACTGCACGGTTCTGCTCTAAACCAATTACCAATTAATGTAACAGAGATAGACTTACGCGGAAATCCACAGATAAGGGATTTACCAAGTGATATTCAGTATTTTAAACCAAGCAATTTCAGGTTCGGTGAGCTGATAATTAACTGTGATTGTAGCAATAAATGGTATGGAAAATGGATAAAAATCAATGAATACGAACAAGGAAAAGACGCAAACAATAGTTTTTGGTGTCGAACTACAGACAACGTTAAAGTGGCCGCTATTGATGCTACAGAAGATTTCCTTGAGTGTAAAGAGTCGATGATAGCAACATGGATAAGTGTATCACTGGCTGTTCTCACATCACTAGTCCTAGGGATATCATTAATTGTCAAGATATTTCAGTACGAAATTTACCTGTTGTTTCGTACGTTCAAAAACAAATACAAGACATATCCAGATAGGTACTATGATGTTTATATATCTTATGATGAAACAGTTCACGAGATAAATAAATGGATCATGAAGGAATTACTTCCTTCATTAGAGGAGGATGGGTACCGAGTCTGTATTCCTAGTAGGGATTTTGATGTAGGCGTTTCTCGTCAAGAAGAAATAATACATAGCATGGGGCGAAGTAACTTTGTCCTTGTTCTTCTATCCAAAAACGAAAGGGATTTCATTTGGGATTTGGAATGGAAGCAAACTTGGTATTTGTATACGACCTATAAAATCCGTAACATATTACTTGTAAATTTTGATATGGTTGACTACGATTCCGTTAACAACCCAGTCTTACGTGCATTCGTCCGACTAGGAATGTATTTTGACTTTGCCAACATGAAACAGACATTGATTGCGGACATTAAGGAAATGTTAGGGTGTTCTGGTCGAGCAAAACGTCGATTAGAAAATGAATTTTTAAATTATATCTCACGATTTAATAAACACGACATGTTGATGTCACGTTGAAAAGTCTTGTTTTCTTCAAATTAGAATTTAAAAAAAAATAGAAATTAATGTTTTCTAGTAAAGTATTTTTGTCATTTTCCATAAATGCAAAGTTAGGATTATCGAAACTATGTATACAATGCATAATTTTCCATGTTTCCGCACAAAATTTATTTAAATGAACCCGGGTTACGCCTTTTAAGAATCATGTGGCAATGAACATCATTATAAATACCTTAACTGCCTCCTCAAATCGGTTTGGTTTCTCCACCACTTTGATTTCAAACACGCGCTCTCAGTCTTACTTGACTTTATACCGGTGACATTGTTTGCATATCAAGTTTATTGTGACATAAAACAAGGTGTAAAATCTGGGAAGTCACATTCGCCATTAGCGAGTACTTACCTGTATCGTTTCTTGGTTTTGATATCTCTTTCGCCAGTTCTACTAAACGTTTCAAATATTATCTTTGATATTCCGCATCATGAATTGATGTCTTTGTGTATTCTTTTAAGAGTCAAGTTCATTAGTCATAGATCAACATTTGTTATAAGTGTTATTAGCACCCAAAGCACAATATTTCTTACGCGTATCAAAACGTCTTCGAAATGTTATTAGATATTCATCATTGCCGGTAACTGACGGGAAATGCGAATTAATAAGTGTGGAGAGCTTTTGTATATTTTGCTTACATAAACTTCTAATTATCATTTTTAAATTCTGTTAAAATTTGGGAACGATCCTGCATGCTAGGGCTTCATCTCTTTTGAATTTCTGCATTTCAATTTGATCAACATATGTATAGTATTATGACTTTGTAGTGAATTTTGTTAAAATCGAAACCCTTGCTGATGTGATATTTTAATGTTTATATAGTGAAGAAGAGCCTGTCTTTTAAAGAGATACACTTTGGTAAAGCACGCCGGTCTACATGTAATGAATTATCGAAAACATACAAGTCGATGCGTTTATGTTTTAATAAAATGGCGATTTCTTTGTAGGACCTGGTTACGGAAATTAATCTGTTAACATTCGCATTATATCATTAGTTAATCTTACTGACTGAACGTGACCTGAAATACCGAGAACCAGACTCGCTGATTACACTGGAGATACCGTGTTTCTTAATCTAATTTATTACCCTACTGTGCACTAACTGGTTCAAAGTACCGTTTGTTTACAAATCGTAAATCTATACCTACCCTAGAACAGATTCGTGTGATATCAAAGCGCATGAGGAGTAGAAATAGGGTCAGTGAGGTCAGTGGGATTTCCGTTTTGAAGGAAAGAGGAAGACATTGGTGCTAGCAAATAATGATAAAGCATTTTACATATGTCCGGTTACCTCATACCTATATATATAATGAAACATTTCAACGACTTCAATTTCTGTATCATTTCCGTTCATCTCGCGACTTAAGACCTAAGACCTAACAACTATTTAACTTGTCCTATAAATTTTACAGTCGATTGTCACCCTGATGTTGTTTCCAGGTTGGTAGGTCTGTCAATTAAGTTTCTCAACCTATCGAGATTAAATGAGACAATTAGCATGAACTCTAGTGAACTTGTGTGTTTGTGTGTTTCAGCTACTGTTAATACTGGGGAAGGATTTTTTGTCTTACTCCTAGGTGAAAATTTGTTATCAGGTTATATTTTTTGTATATACAGGTAGGGAAAAATGGAGAGCATTGTTACATCAAAACAGGCTCTACATTCCAATTTTATTAATTGAAATGAAAAACACCTAAATCCATCACATCAAATTGTTCAATATGTTATCAAGATAATCAAAGATACGTGGAAAATAAATATTACAAGTGATTTATGTTTTTTTCCTGTTCAGTATGTAGCCTCTCAACAAAAAAGTACTCCATTTATTGAGATCCCTTATCAGCGAGTTCGTGACACCCATTCAGGAAGTTTAAATTATTTTAAGATATGTTTGCATTGGTTAAACATTTTCTGATGTCAATGTTATCAAAGTTTCATGAATCACAATTGACTTTAGGTAACACCTGATAAAACAGGAAATTTCCAAACTTAACATATCGGTGGATTTCATGCAGAGACATGAAAATTAGGTGCATTTTGAGTATAGGATATACACGTCTGGTATGGGGGAGGGCTAAATCAAAACATGTACACGATAGAGGGATGAACTTTTTACCAAATGTAAATATTGTTCCAAAAAGCATGAAATACACGCCAAAACAGAACCAAGATGGATATTTAGTCACATAGTCTGTAACTATTTATATGGTCCTTGCGCCTGTTCTTATATACAACTTCCGTTTTAATTGTATTTTATTGGGAATATAAATTCCTAGATCCAGAGTGTCCAGGATCTATGTCATTGTCACTGCGAGCTGGAGTTCGCACGTGCGCGTAACATGCACACTTCGTGCACTACTCCTAATATGAAATAATGAGGACTCGACATTTTTAGATCAAATCAAGGTGACTTATTTTATAGAAATTATGTTTATGGTGTCATGCACACCTTCATAGAATGCTACCTTTCTGAAAAAAGCTGACTAAACTTTTATCTTTGATGTCACAAGGTTACTACATTGTATATATAATACACGTAGTGTTTACATCAACATGTAACTTGTCTTTAGGTTGCTGACATATGCATACATCACTCGTAACTCAAGTGGGTGTTGACGAATGCAAAATCTTTTTTTTTTCTTTTTTAAATCCTTCCGTTCTGGAGAAAACAAAGTTTGTAACTGCACTTCCATTGAAATGTCAAAATGTCAGGGATATTGCAACCATAGATAGAGCGGGAATTTTATACTATACAAACACACTGAATTCCGCGCCATTTTTCTCAGTCCACGGTTTTAACACTGATAAAAGGAACAAGACTCGCCATGCGATACCTTTGACGACGTGACAGAAAAGAATTAGTATAATATTATCTATCCATCTCACACATACTAAATGTATATTCTATAGTTTTGTTGGATTAGTAGAACAGAAATATTGCTTTACCATCCCACACATATTATATGTATTTTCTATAGTGTTGTTGGATTAGTGGAATAGAAATATTGTTTTACCAACCCACACATATTATATGTATATTCTATAGTTTTGTCGGATTAGTGGAACAGAAATATTGTTTTACCATCCAACACATACTATATGTATATTCTACAATGTTGTTGGATTAGTGGAACAGAAATATTGTTTTACCATCCAACACATATTATATGTATATTCTACAGTGTTGTTGGATTAGTTGAACAGAAATATTGTTTTACCATCCCACACATATTATATGTATATTCTATAGTTTTGTCGGATTAGTAGAACAGAAATATTGTTTTACCATCCCACACATATTATATGTATTTTCTATAGTGTTGTTAGATTAGTGGAATAGAAATATTGTTTTACCATCCCACACATATTATATGTATATTCTATAGTTTTGTCGGATTAGTGGAACAGAAATATTGTTTTACCATCCCACACATACAAGATGTATATTCTACAGTGTTGTTGGATTAGTGGAATAGAAATATTGTTTTACCATCCCAAACATATTATATGTATATTCTACAGTGTTGTTGGATTAGTGGAACAGAAATATCTTACCATCCAACACATACTATATGTATATTCTATAGTTTTGTTGGATTAGTGGAACAGAAATATTGTTTTACCATCCAACACATACTATATGTATATTCTACAGTGTTGTTAGATTAGTGGAACAGAAATATCTTACCATCCAACACATACTATATGTATATTCTACAGTTTTGTCGGATTAGTGGAACAGAAATATTGTTTTTCCATTCCACACATACTATATGTATATTCTATAGTTTTGTTTGGATAGTGGAACAGAAATATTGTTTTACCATCCAACACATACTATATGTATATTCTATAGTTTTGTTTGAATAGTGGAATAGAAATATTGTTTTTCTATTCCACGCATATTATATGTATATCCTATAGTTTTGTTTGGATTAGTGGAATAGAAATATTGTTTTTCTATTCCACGCATATTATATGTATATCCTATAGTTTTGTTTGGATAGTGGAATAGAAATATTGTTTTTCTATTCAACGCATACTATATGTATATCCTTTAGTTTTGTTTGGATAGTGGAATAGAAATATTGTTTTTCTATTCTACGCATATTGAATGTATATCCTTCAGTTTTGTTTGGATATTGGAATAGAAATATTGTTTTCTATTCCATGCATATTATATGTATACCCTATAGTTTTGTTTGGATAGTGGAATAGAAATATTGTTTTACCATCCCACGCATATTATATGTATATCCTACAGTTTTGTTTGGAAAGTGGAATAGAAATATTGTTTTTCCATCCCACGCATATTATATGTATATCCTATAGTTTTGTTTGGATAGTGGAATAGAAATATTGTTTTACCATCCCACGCATATTATATGTATATCCTACAGTTTTGTTTGGAAAGTGGAATAGAAATATTGTTTTTCCATCCCACGCATATTATATGTATATCCTATAGTTTTGTTTGGATAGTGGAATAGAAATATTGTTTTACCATCCCACGCATATTATATGTATATCCTACAGTTTTGTTTGGATAGTGGAATAGAAATATTGTTTTTCTATTCCACGCATATTATATGTATATCCTTTAGTTTTGTTTGGATAGTGGAATAGAAATATTGTTTTAGATGATTTCATTGTATCCTAGTATGATGATCATAATGGCGTTCTCTCTTTGAAGTATCCACTGTTATCAGTCTTTATTATGTTGGTATCACCAAGAAATTGTTATACTTTCAAACTTTTTATTTCAAAGTGTATAATTTGACTACTCTGAAATATTTTTGTAACTGTATATAAATGTATTTTGTCATTATGTCTTTTTTATACTAAATTTAAAACAATAAATGAGTACACCTACCTCGTGTAGCCGTTGTTTTATAGAGATATAATAGCCATGAACCAGGATGTTTCAATGTTGTCCAAAATTATTATATCACAACACAATTAGTTGCTGAATTGTCAGACTTCATCAGACTCATTCATTAATCAGCGGTGCTGACATACTTCATCACTCATTAGTCAGTGTTGCTGACATACTTCATCACTCATTAGTGGTGCTGACATACTTCATCCCTCATTAGTGGTGCTGACATACTTCATCACTCATTAGTGGTACTGACATACTTCATCACTCATTCATGGTGTTGACATACTTCATCACTCATTAGTGGTGCTGACAAGACTTCATCACTCATTAGTGGTGCTGACAAGACTTCATCACTCATTAGTGGTGATGACATACTTCATCCCTCATTAGTGGTGCTGACATACTTCATCACTCATTAGTGGTACTGACATACTTCATCACTCATTAGTGGTGATGACATACTTCATCACTCATTAGTGGTGCTGACAGACTTCATCACTCATTAGTCAGTGTTGCTGACATACTTCATCACTCATTAGTGGTGCTGACATACTTCATCCCTCATTAGTGGTGCTGACATACTTCATCACTCATTAGTGGTGCTGACATACTTCATCACTCATTAGTGGTGCTGACATACTTCATCACTCATTAGTGGTGCTGACAGACTTCATCACTCATTCATGGTGTTGCTGACATACTTCATCACTCATTCATGGTGTTGACATACTTCATCACTCATTAGTGGTACTGACATACTTCATCACTCATTAGTCAGTGTTGCTGACATACTTCATCACTCATTAGTGGTGCTGACATACTTCATCACTCATTAGTGGTGCTGACATACTTCATCACTTATTAGTGGTGCTGACAGACTTCATCACTCATTAGTCAGTGTTGCTGACATACTTCATCACTCATTAGTGGTGCTGACATACTTCATCCCTCATTAGTGGTGTTGACATACTTCATCACTCATTAGTGGTGCTGACATACTTCATCACTCATTAGTGGTGCTGACATACTTCATCACTCATTAGTGGTGCTGACATACTTCATCACTCATTAGTGGTGCTGACAGACTTCATCACTCATTAGTGGTGCTGACAGACTTCATCACTCATTAGTGGTGCTGACATACTTCATCACTCATTAGTCAGTGGTGCTGACAGACTGCATCACTCATTAGTCAGCGGTGCTGACATACTTCATCACTCATTAGTCAGTGGTGCTGACATACATCATCACTCATTAGTCAGTGGTGTTGACAGACTGCATCACTCATTAGTCAGTGGTGCTGACATGCTTCATCACTCATTAGTCACTGGTGCTGACATACTTCATCACTCATTAGTCACTGGTGCTGACATACATCATCACTCATTAGTCAGTGGTGCTGACATACATCATCACTCATTAGTCAGTGGTGTTGACAGACTTCATCAGACTCATTTGTCAACAGAGTTGTCAGACATCATAAAACTCATTTGTCACTACACGTATGTTACTGTTCAATACTTATCCTATTGCTAGATTCAGATGTATTCAATGCAGTTGTATAATGGTGACTTGTCACCATGTTATCAATGTAGGATTAATGATTGCAAAGGTTTTGATGAAACAATTCTCATCCCAAACAGACAGCTGTATTAACCTTTAGCTGGGTCCCAATTCTAAATTCCATTTCAACTTCCTTAAACGGACATTGCGGACTATAACCTTTGTGTCATAAATACTTAAAACACAGTTACAAGACTCTTTCTTTATGTAGTTTTTATTTATAATTATATCATCACATCTGACAACTTGATACACTTTATATACAAGTATGACATTTATCTTCTCTCAACAACTCCAGGACGCTTTCTCTCATCATACATACAGAAAATTCCTTATCTCTACAATCAAGGAAATTTCTCAAAACTTCTTTTATGAAAAGTATGAAATAAAAAATTTTCAATTCAATATCTGTTAACACCTACAATATTTTTCATACATACACAAAAATATTTCTCTTACCTCCCTCGGACATTTTTTGCTCATCTCCCTGCATACAAACCATTTTTCTCTTTTCTCTACAGACAAATGTATACACAAAGATACAACTTACCTAATTTACAGGAAATTATATAATCAATCCATATTGAAAAAAAACGACATACAGTAGTGTTTGGAGTGAACATATTAAAATGTATTGGTATAGACTATACAAACTTATAATAAACTCCTGACAAAGATGAAGTATTGCACAAGTAGCTTAAAAATGAGTGTTTGGGTGTAACATGAAGATTTCAATCTTGATTCACTGACAATAATACATAAGTTAATAATACGTTTTTTAAGTTTCATTGACTGTTCAACAGGATTGGCGGTGGTTATGACTACATTATACAAGTTTCCAAATCCTTTTCAAACAAATAAACAAGAAATTTGAAGAAGTTGATCCAATTTTTCCAAGAAAGGAAACAACAAAGAAAAAACACAATGACAGAAAATTCTCACAGAATATTGAAGTTAACATATAATAGTTTATGTTGTGAAATATCATGTTTTACAATGAATAGTTGCTAAGATAAGTATAATAGTTTTTATGTTTGTCCACTCTTCAAGTTGTAAAGCATGTAGATGTCTGTTCACTGCTGTGTGTACAAGCTGCCAAGTTTTACACAAGGTATAGGTATATACCCTTATAAGGGCCGATCATCTCCTCGCAGGGCTCGGTATGTGTTTATTTCTTTAGGAAATACTTTATCCAATTCAACTAGCAGCAATGTCTTGAATTTCTGTAAAAATGATAATATTCATTTGAAGTAAACAAAACAATTTTAAATGTATTATTTCCAGAGAGTATTTCCAATTCTATGAAAACATAGCTACAATTTGAATCAGACACTTTAAGACATATATATGTCAACATATACAAATAAACTCACTGGATTATGTGGCATGCCAATCAGAGTAATTGGGATAAAGTGCCTTACACAAGGACACAAGCACCTTAAAACACAGACCTGTGGATTTCTCCTGTGAATCACAAACTGCCACAGGTAAAGAGTAGTGAACCACAAATCTCAGACCTTCACTTGAGGTTGTGTATACCCACATTGTACTGATTGAGATCCTCATATATACAAGACTGCTCATATGTCTCTATGTATAAAGGTTTACACACAGAATGACAGATACAGTACACAGACTAATTGATAGACAGAGAACACAGACTAACTGAAAGACACAGTACACAGACTTACTGATGGACACAGTACACAGACTTACTGATGGGCACCGTACACAGACTAACTGATAGACACAGTACACAGACTGAATGATGGGCACAGTACACAGACTGACTGATGGACACAGTACACAGACTTACTGATGGGCACAGTAAACAGACTGACTGATGGACACAGTACACAGACTAATTGATAGACAGAGTACCCAGACAGACTGACAGACACAGTACACAGACTGATGGACACAGTACACAGACTGACTGATAGACACAGTACACAGACTGATGGCCAGAGTACACAGACTGATGGACACAGTACCCAGACAGACTGATGGACAAAGTACACAAACAGACTGACAGACACAGTACACAGACTGATGGGCAGAGTACACAGACTGATGGACACAGTACACAGACTGATGGACACAGTGCACAGACTGATAGACACAGTACACAGACTGATGGACACAGTACACAGACTGACTGATGGGCACAGTACACAGACTGATGGACACAGTACACAGACTGATGGACACAGTACACAGACAGACTGATGGACACAGTACACAGACTGACTGATAGACACAGTACACAGACTGATAGACACAGTACACAGACTGACTGATAGACACAGTACACAGACTGATAGACACAGTACACAGACTGACTGATAGACACAGTACACAGACTGATGGACACAGACTGACTGATGGACACCGTACACAGACTGACTGATAGATACAGTACACAGACTGATGGACACAGTACACAGACTGATTGATAGACACAGTATACAGAAACACAGTACATGAATCAGTTGATGGACACAGTACACAGACTGATAGACACAGTACACAGACTGACTGATGGACACAGTACACAGACTGACTGATGGACACAGTACACAGACAGACTGATAGAAAAAGTACACAGACTGATTGATAGACACAGTATACAGACTGATGGCCAGAGTACACAGACTGATGGACACAGTACCCAGACAGACTGATGGACAAAGTACACAAACAAACTGATAGACACAGTACACAGACTGATGGGCACAGTACACAGACTGATGGACACAGTACACAGACTAACTGATAGACACAGTACACAGACTGACTGATAGGCACAGTACACAGACTGACTGATGGGCACAGTACACAGACAGACTGATGGACACAGTACACAGACTGATGAGCACAGTACACAGACTGATGGACACAGAGCCCAGACAGACTGATGGACAAAGTACACAAACAGACTGATAGACACAGTACACAGACTGATGGGCACAGTACACAGACTGATGAACACAGTACACAGACTGACTGATAGACACAGTACACAGACTAATGGCCAGAGTACACAGACTGATGGACACTGTACACAGACTGATGAGCACAGTACACATACTGATGGACACAGTACACAGACTGATGGACACAGTACACAGACAGACTGATGGACACAGTACACAGACAGACTGATGGACACAGTACACAGACTGACTGATAGACACAGTACACAGACTGACTGATAGACACAGTACACAGACTGATGGGCACAGTACACAGACTGATGGACACAGTACACAGACTAATTGATAGACACAGTACACAGACAGACTGATGGACACAGTACACAGACTGATGAGCACAGTACACAGACTGACTGATAGACACAGTACACAGACTGACTGATAGACACAGTACACAGACTGATGGACACAGTACACAGACTGACTGATGGACACAGTACACAGACTGACTGATAGACACAGTACACAGACTGATGGACACAGACTGACTGATAGACACAGTACACAGACTGATGGACACAGTACACAGACTGACTGATAGACAAAGTACACAGACTGCAGACCACGATTTTGTCCCTGTTGATGCTCCCAGTGTGATGAGTAGGAACTAAGTATTTCATTCTTCAAATCATTGTCTATTTTCAGATATCAACCTTTTGTCTTTTAAAGTTTCCCTTAATCACAAAATAATGTCACAGTGATGGTCATGTCATGGCTTATAATGTATAACAAAGAATGTACTCCTTTGATGTGTAAATGTAACTCCAATGTGTGTTAGCTTACAGGTTTAGTGTTAATGTGCTGGTCTTTATACAAAAACTTACCTTCAAATTGTCTATCTTTCCTTTCACTTGTTCATTTTTTGCAAGTGCCTTTTCTAAACAGTCTTTAGTATAGAGGTTTGGGTTTTTTCCCTGATCAATATAACTGAAATTAGAGATTCCAGAGATGTTGAGTATCGTAGAACAATGTGTTAAAAAAGTACCTCATTATTACATCAGATATATTGCTTTTTATCATTTACATCTATTGTTCTGGACTGGTTATACGAACAAATGTAGGATCCTTTACTTCTATTAAATACAACACATTTAAATCCTAATTCACTAGTCTTAAAAATCATGTCTATCATCACAAAATGAATTTAGATTACTTCAAATGAAGCTAAGAAACTCACTCAAATACTTCTAAAGGCACATTGATATCACCCATTTGTGATTTCAGTTTATCAATCTCCTGCATCCCAGCAACCATCTTTTGTCTGTAAAATTAATTAAAGAAGTTTTTTTTCAAATCGATAGAAAATAACTGAAACCCATTGAGAGTAATTGGTGTTTAACAGTATCATACTGCTGGTACAGCAGTTACAATGCACCAGAGGAAGCCAAAATAGTGAACAAAAATTCAGCTGTATATCAGCTAATTTATAGTTCAGTGTAAAGCACCTACTCCTCTGAAAGGTTTTCCTTCACATCCAAATTTACAATCAGTACAGGTTAACAAAAAAATCTCTTCAGTTAGCCTTTTGATTAAAATGTCACTTAATGTGTATAATTGTTGTAAATAACTCAAGTCTGTTGCTATATTTAAGAAAACTGCATTTCTGTTACATTTTAAATGATGTGCGTTAGCGCAATATGTTGAAACATCTTTTAAAAAGAGGCCCATGGGCTTTAACGTTCACCTGGGGTCTTCAGGTCTTGGACAATTTCATAGCCAGTCCAACAGTCCCTGCACTGGGGCAGACAGAACAGAACCGATATATGCATACTTACAAAGTCTCTATTATATCTAAGTTCTAAGGCTTGATTTTCAACTAAACAAAACTGATAACACTCTCTGTGGTTGTAGTTAAACATATTTGACCCCTGTGACCTTGAATGAAGGTCAAGGCCATTCATTTGAATCAAAAATATATCCCTTCATCTCAGCATGCTACTGGCCCAATATCATGACCCTTGGCCTTTGGTTATTGAGAAGTTGTTTAAAGATTTCAACACATTTGATCCCTGTGATCTTGAAAGTGTGTCAATGCCATTATAACAAACTTGGTAGCCCTTCATCCCAGCATGCTTCAGACCCATTATCAGCACTCTAGGCCTTTTGGTTATTAAGAAGAAGTGGAAAATGTCTATTGTTTAAGGCGAATGATGCATGGTGGACTTCATCTCAGGTGACCTAAAAATACAGCTTACACACCAGTAAACAAAAAAAAAAATAATAATATGTTATTTTCACGTTTATTTCTTTATCTATGAAATGTGAAAGAAAATAACAGTCCATATTCGTTTGATGTTATTATCACTCTTGAGAAACAGCTCAACAACTGATTGAAAAGCAAAACAGGTGATTAAATTTTGGCAGGAAAAAATGTCAGACTTGAGGTTTACCAAAAAGTATGCATCAATTTGTTGGTATGGACAAATAGAGAATACACGGTGGAGATATACATATCAAATTATCAACAATAATGAAAATGCACATTCAGTGAGGCTATCACTGAACTTAACAACTATAAGGATCAAGCTAAAGGAGAGCCTATATGCGAAATATCAAATTTGAAACAAAAAAATTCTCTTCAACCGAAAACAAAAGCAAATTTTAACAGTCAAATCCAAGATGGCCACAGATTCAAAAACTCAGAAGCATAACAAAATTGTTAACATTAATTTGAAAAAAAAAGTAATGAAAAATCGTGGTTTAAATATAGATATATATTCTATATGTATATATTTTTTAATTTCTTTTTTCACGCTGATATTTTTCTGGGGCAAATTGTTAGCCATCTGTAGTCTTTAGGGACCAACAGAAAATACAATAACAGTAATCACTGTAAGACGGACGAAACAAAAACGAATGACAAAACGAACAGCCTACCATCTCATGGCTGTGGACTGAAAATGTGAAAGATGGCGAGTATGATATGACCCATGTGAATCGGGCATTCTATATGTGAAGTACAACTAGTATACTACGAAAAAAGCATTTAAACATACTATCTCTGCTATTTTCGTGATATACTAGTTGTATTTCACATACAGAACGTTTGATTTATCATTACTGTGGGTGACCACATCTTTCTCCGACTTTTGTGCGTAATCAGCTGAACATTGCGTTAGGGAAACAAGTCTGAAAAAGGCAAACTATTCTAAGCAGAAGCTTACATTTTTTGGTTCATATTACTTTGTCCTTGTGGTTGGAAATCACTGACTACAATGCCAAGCTGCCGAGTGTTTTCGATAAACATCTCTAATTGTTGCTCTAATGCCTCGAACCGGTCCATTCTGTCCGCCATCTTGAAACCGGATGGCGAAGTCGCGCTATAGTTCGTTTCATTTTAGTCCTTGTAAAGTATCATTTTTAAAAATTGTAGATTGTTTCAACCAATGCATATATATTATGATTCATTTTCAACTCATTCTTTAGCATTGAATATTAAACTGGCCGGGAACCTTTGACGAGTTTACTTTAATATTACATTTTATAATAAGTTATCAGCAAATGACTATAGTAGCGGAAGTTCGCGAAAGGAGATAACTCTTATTCCCACCTAAACTGCACGATGTCCTTTCACTTTCACCTGTTCAACGTTTGATTGACAGATAGCTGTGGATGCGGAGACCTCGCGTTACTCAATGTGCGCTTGAAAATCATCGGCATTTAAGTTTGGCTGGTTCTTGATGGTGACATCAAAACTGCTTGGCTTTCTTAGTTAGGTCTCCTGATTGTCAACTCAATGTGACCGAATGTCAACTGAATAAGAGCAAAGACAGATAGGGATTGTCTTCAGTTTTGTTATTTTACATTACTTTGAAAGTTAACGGCATTAATGAACACTTTCCACTGTTAAGTCAACGGGAAAATAACAATATGCAATCTTTCTTCACAAGTTCGAAGTGGCTCCTGAAGATTCCCGTGGTGTATAATCAGTCACAGAAGACTATTTCATTTGTGATATGTAGAAAACCTTTCTTACAATGTACCACACTACCTAAACACACTACGTCTGTATGGAGTCCGAAGTGTTTAACTACTTCAGTGAAATTATATGCAGAGTCAAAGAAAAACACAGAGATTGACATAACAAGAGAGAGTCCCTTTTCTGAATTAACCACGAAGGAAAAGGGTAAATAATCCAAGAAGAACTAACTTTAGAAAAAAGTACACTTATTTAGAAATATTTATAATCTGATCTCTCATTACAGAGACGTCATTAATGTATCATACTATGTAGGTATATCCTTTGGTGTCTGTCTTTTTGTTTGCTTTAGTTTAAACTTATTTTATTTGCATCAAATATATACAATGGGATTGGGCACAAGTTATCAAACTTATATTAAGCCATTTCACAGTGATGTTTAACAATGTACATCAACACAAGATGAACAGTTATATATAACCTATAGTAGTTATGTATTATATAATGTATACAATACATATGGATAGAGAGATTTAAATACCAGTACTGGTAATTAAACTCGATAGAAATTATCATTTAGTTTAACCTGACTCAGTCAGCAATCACAGTTACAGTCACATTTACTTTTTGTAAATAGTTCTGTACTACAAACATGTGAATGACATGTCATATCACCTTAATATTGTCTTCTGAAATGCTAGCTACATATAAATTTGTGTACCTCAAAGAGTCAAGACTTAATATATGCTTTATATGCCCCCACCCCAGTATGGACCCCTGAAATAACTACAAAACAATCATCAAGGCTGGCTGTCGCAAGCAACACTGTTACCTTTGGAAATTTAAGACAATTAGGGAAGTTATTTTTACCTGGAAGAGAAGTATGGCATTCATGTAATGATATTGTATACCTGGTAACATGATAGATTACATCATTTAGTAGCTCCCTACCATCTCACCTGTGGTTTCCTCTTATCTCCATTGGTGGTGCATCAGACTAGTAAACCAGGGGATCTTGGTTTGATTCTTTAGCAACAAGTAAAAAAAATAATTATTTTATTGTTTTTGTTATATATTGGTAATATTTAACATTAACTATAGTGACAAGTGATGTGACACAAGTTTTAACTGACTTAGACATTTAATTTGAAATACACTTTCAGATGAGATGTTTATATTATGCATTAAGGTCAAGGTCACCATGTCAAGTTGAGAGCTCAAACTTTGTTTCTTTTAACTGGTTTAAATTTGGTAATGATTTTCTGAAGCAAAGTTACAAAGAACAAACCATGTGATTAAAGGTCAAAGTAATGGTTTGATAATGATTTAGTAATAGTAATCATGCCAGGGGGTATGTCATTCAAAATCACAGTGGTACAGAGTTGACCATTAAACTCTAAGCTTAAGACCAATCATTTAGTGCAAGTTCAAGGTTACAGAGGCTAACTTGTTCTCCCTGAAAATTGTAGATATTAATGGCACATTTTGAAGAAGCAAATTATACAACATACTTACATAAGGACTAACCATATCAGCAAAGTTATTTCAACCAAATGTAAATTCTTTTTGTCAGCCCTTGACTGAACTGTTTTTATTGATCTAGCATTAATATGACACATATTTATTATTTCATGTATGCAGTAGCAATCATTGGCTCCAAGCATATTCTCCTATCTCAAGGATAACCATGTACTCATTTATGTTAAAGAAATATTTAATGATAGAAAACTTTAATTTTCAGTAAAAGAAGCTGGTAAAACATCATTTTGGGGAGGAATTATTCTCTTTGGTGTTGGTATAACAGGTGAGCACACTTGAAGGATAATATAAGTTTGTTAACTTAAAGTCGTGTTTGTGTTAAATTACATCTCATGATTTTATAAGGAAAATCAATGGATGCAGGGGGAAAGCCTCTATATCCATACCAACAATACATATGCAGTGAGTAAATTTACATCATCAGGTATAATAGCTATGTAGAGTCAACTGTTAAATTAGAATTTTAATGCTACAACAACTGTTTTTCTGGTGTTCATCAAGCAATACCTTGAAATGGTAAACGTTATCTGCATCAATGATATGTTGCTGTAAGTTGATCCATATATCTACAATTCTATGACTAAAGAAATTCCTTCTTATATCAAGGTGATGTTGAAGCATTGGGAGATTTAATCTCTTCAGATGTTCCTCGTACGACAAGTTCTTTAGCCCAGGGGTTAGTTTGTAGCCCTCCTCTGTACTTTCTCCATCAATTCTATATCTGTAACTCTAGACAGACTCCATGCACTTACTACATACTCTAGATGTGGTCTAACAAGGGCTTTAAACAATATTCAGGAAATTGACATGCATTATATTTGTTTTGTGTTGTAATTTTAATCTTGTTTTAGTCTAAGGATAACATCATTTTTATTCTGAAGTTTGAGGTTTTGAAAATTTGTTTGAAATTTCTTTCTAACTTTGTATAGGTGGTCTGCTCTACATCATTGGAAAGGAAGTGTTTTCCAGTCAAAGTCCTAGAGGAATATATAGTAATGCCTTTGATCTATGTAAGCAGAATACAGAGGTATGTATACAACTGGAGTTTTAAAATGATTTAAATGTTTCTGTTGGAAAAACCAATTATCACAAAAACAAAAGGGGATATTTTAAAGAATGAATTGCTCTTGTTGTTTTATAAACAATCTTGTTAGTGACACAAGCAAAAATAAGTTAGGTGTAGATAATATCACCATGTTAGATGTCCTGGAATAGAGCAAATGCAATAGTGTATAGGGAAGGATAGGTGTCCTTTTCTTCAATATCAAGAGGTATGCAAGGTGTATGTAAATCTCAACAAAATAGGAACCGGTCTCTTATTTGTTGCGATTTATGTTTTCTGATCTTAAATCATTTAGATACATGACAATGATGTATCACATTGCCATCTGAAAAAAAGCTTAGAATGAGAAAAGAAAATGCTGATTTTTTTCCTCTTATACTGGTTGTTCTAGTAGAAGTTTATCATCAGAGATCTTATGAATCAATAACTTAATTAGTCAAATAAGCATTTGATATTTAATCAATTAAGTTTCCATTTCCTTCTGTAATGAGAGTCTTGTAACCTGTATAACACAGGAAGAAAAAGCTACAGACCATTAAGGTATTGAACACATTGTATAAACACAGGTTTGGTATGTAGGCTAAGTGAATAATATGCCTAGGTCTGTGAACAGTTGTTTTTCTGTTTTCACACAAGATGGAAATGAAGCAGGATTTGATAACGGATAACTAATTTATGTGTAGTTCAGTGACATGATTAGATATTACCTTGTAAATGTTTATATTACAACTGGAAAACTCTAACACTTGAACAATGTTGTGGTGAAACTGAGGTTGAACACATGTCTTTATAGATCTTGATGTAATGTTTTTGTAATTCCTGCCATAAAAAAAAGATCAGTACAGAGTACATAGGAACTAAAAACATTATCCAACACAGCGCTCCAAAATCCATAAATGCCAAAACATGGGAATATCTTCCAGAAAAAGTGGTTTCAGTACAAGCAATAAGCATTTACAATAGACTTATAAGTTAATATTGTGGAAACAAATATCAGATTTGATTGATCAGGCACATACACAATGAACATGTTTAGCGATTAAGTATTTCTAATTTTTTGTGCAGTTGATGGATGTGCTGGGTGAGCCTGTAAAATGTTATGGTGAAGAGACTAGGAGAGGCAGACGTAGACATACCAGGTAGGTATTAAGACTAGGAGGACAAGCATAGACATACCAGGTAGGTGTAGAGACTAGGAGAGGCAGACGTAGACATACCAGGTAGGTATTAAGACTAGGAGGACAAGCATAGACATACCAGGTAGGTGTAGAGACTAGGAGAGGCAGGCATAGACATACCAGGTAGGTGTAGAGACAAGGAGAGGCAGGCATAGACAAACCAGGTAGGTATTAAGACTAGGAGGACAAGCATAGACATACCAGGTAGGTATTAAGACTAGGAGGACAAGCATAGACATACCAGGTAGGTGTAGAGACTAGGAGAGGCAGACGTAGACATACCAGGTAGGTATTAAGACTAGGAGGACAAGCATAGACATACCAAGTAGGTATTAAGACTAGGAGGACAAGCATAGACATACCAGGTAGGTATTAAGACTAGGAGGACAAGCATAGACATACCAGGTAGGTGTAGAGACTAGGAGAGGCAGACGTAGACATACCAGGTAGGTGTAGAGACTAGGAGAGGCAGGCATAGACAAACCAGGTAGGTGTAGAGACAAGGAGAGGCAGGCATAGACCTACCAGGTAGGTGTAGAGACTAGGAGAGGCAGGAATAGACAAACCAGGTAGATATAGAGACTAGAAAGAAGGACAGACATAGACATACCAGGTAGGTGTAGAGACTAGGAAGACAGGCATAGACATACCAGGTAGGTGTAGAGACTAGGAGAGGCAGGCATAGACATACCAGGTAGGTATAGAGACTAGAAGGACAGGCATAGACATACCAGGTAGGTATAGAGACTAGGAGAGGCAGGCATAGACATACCAGGTAGGTGTAGAGACTAGGAGAAGCAGGTGTAGACATACCAGGTAGGTGTAGAGACTAGGAGGACAGGCATAGACCTACCAGGTAGGTGTAGAGACTAGGAGAGGCAGGCGTAGACATACCAGGTAGGTGTAGAGACTAGGAGAGGCAGGCGTAGACATACCAGGTAGGTGTAGAGACAAGGAGAGGCAGGCATAGACATACCAGGTAGGTGTAGAGACTAGGAGAAGCAGGCATAGACATACCAGGTAGGTGTAGAGACTAGAAGGACAGACATAGACCTACCAGGTAGGTGTAGAGACTAGGAGGACAGGCATAGACCTACCAGGTAGGTGTAGAGACTAGGAGAGGCAGGCATAGACATACCAGGTAGGTATAGAGACTAGAAGGACAGACATAGACCTACCAGGTAGGTGTAGAAACTAGGAGAGACAGGCATAGACCTACCAGGTAGGTGTAGAGACTAGGAGAGGCAGGCGTAGACATACCAGGTAGGTGTAGAGACTAGGAGGCCAGGTATAGACATACCAGGACTAGGAGAGGCAGTTTAGACATCAAAAAAGTGTATTTTACTGCCAATATGAATCCCTTCCAGTGCAATCAGATTGGCATATTACATTGGCACAATCCTTATTTAACCTTTTTTTTTTTTTTCCATAAAAGTCAAAACACATTTAAAAAGTCAGTCACCATGCTGTGACCAGGAACCTCAGTTATAAGAGCTGATCACAGTTATAAGTTTGGGTTGTGTCAATGTATTTCCTGTTATGTATAAACATAACTATGCTGTATTATACTCTGTTACTTTTTCACTCAATAGATTCATCATTATTTGCATATATATATATATAAAAAAATATCTGAAATAAGATTCAACATTGTATAATCATATTGTTTGGTATGGAATACTACAGCTAGACAGATTTTCTTTTACAGCCATGTACAGTTTGAACAGGATGGTGTACAGCATATGAAAATGGTGTTTTACATTGAAGGGCATCTAAAAAAAGGCAAAGTTCATCTAGAAGTACAAAGGGTAAGGGTTTCATTAAATAATGGGTGTTAACATTGAAATAAAAGGTAGTTAGGACTTGATTTATTTGTATATTTATTCACATAGTAGATACTGTGAAATATTCAATAAAATATTTCTGCAATTCATTATGATCATTTTTGTGTGCTTCATTTTCCAACGAAAATGTGTAAACAATATACAAAAGGACAACCCTGGTTATTGTTGAAAAGGATCTATGGGCCTTGTTATTTTTATTGTGTCTATGGGCCCCTTCATCTCCATTCTGAATTGTGCTCTTCAAAAGGATATTTGCTATGGAATTATATATGACAATGAGTTTTAAAACTGAAAGGAAAAACATAAAGACCTAAAAGAGAAGGATTGGTTATTTGTTACTCTTGGTTTGAGATGTATCTGCCTTTAGAACATGTGTGGTTGTTGACAGTATTAATTGTCAACACTTTCTACTATGTATGCTGAGTATAGATCTGTATATATTAGCTCATGTCAGCTACTTTTCCCAAGGGAAATGCATGTGTACAGTTATTTTTCAATGGTATTATTCGTCTTTCTCAAATACATGTATCGCTTCCTGTGGATCTATAGGTCTCAATTCAGGAAATGTTCTCCATAGCACATCTGAATGATTAGATTTTCTGAAATAGATTTCATCTTCCAATAGGATATGTGATTGCGAATTTATTCATCTGACACCCCGGTTTTTATACATGGGGTATTTTTGCAATATGGCTAAAGTTATTTGGTATAAGGAAGACCGGCAGATGAAAGACTGCATCAAGTAGCATTTTCATAGGATTGGATTAAGTGCAAATAACATCTTTCCAGATCAACTCTAAAACCTACTAGTAACAATACCTACCTGATTAACTCTAAAACCTACTAGTAACAATACCTACCTGATTAACTCTAAAACCTACTAGTAACAATACCTACCTGATTAACTCTAAAACCTACTAGTAACAATACCTACCTGATTAACTCTAAAACCTACTAGTAACAATACCTACCTGATTAACTCTAAAACCTACTAGTAACAATACCTACCTGATTAACTCTAAAACCTACTAGTAACAATACCTACCTGATTAACTCTAAAACCTACTAGTAACAATACCTACCTGATTAACTCTAAAACCTACTAGTAACAATACCTACCTGATTAACTCTAAAACCTACTAGTAACAATACCTACCTGATTAACTCTAAAACCTACTAGTAACAATACCTACCTGATTAACTCTAAAACCTACTAGTAACAATACCTACCTGATTAACTCTAAAACCTACTAGTAACAATACCTAATTAACTCTAAAACCTACTAGTACCTACCTGATTAACTCTAAAACCTACTAGTAACAATACCTACCTGATTAACTCTAAAACCTAACCTACCTGATTAACTACTAGTAACTACCTACCTGATTAACTCTAAAACCTACCTAGTAACAATACCTACCTGATTAACTCTAAAACCTACTAGTAACAATACCTACCTGATTAACTCTAAAACCTACTAGTAACAATACCTACCTGATTAACTCTAAAACCTACTAGTAACAATACCTACCTGATTAACTCTAAAACCTACCCATATCTTTAACATAAGCTTGATAAACTGTTTTTGATATATATATAATATATTTTTTTGCAGATGCCTGGACAGAAGTATGAGTACAGGTATCTGTTTGTGGAACTGTATGGTTACCCATCACGCACCATAATCATTCAGGACAACAGATAACTCAAATATCGTCCTAGCAGAGGAACAGCCTAATACCTCTACACAGTAGATATTTGTTTGATTCAGGGAGAAATGAACAGTTGTTATAGCAAGAATATAACACCCAAGAGAACTGTTTCAGCATGTATTTTTGCTCAAGGCAATAAAACAATTTGCTATGATTGATTTAGTTTTAGTGTGTTTGTTCACAAAATATGGGTACTCATCACCCTGTAGCCTGTCTTTCTATTTTCAGTACTTTGTCTTATTGTAGGAAATCTATCTATTACCAAGTACATTTGACAATAAGTGAATATTACCTTCTGTTCTGCACCATGGTGCTTCAATACTTTTTTAAATAGATTGCAAATTTCAATTATCATTTGATCGAAAGTTGAAAACCTCTGGGCTGGAGTGAATCTGCCTTGTATAATGCATAATATGAATTTGAAATACAACTTGAAACACAAATTGAAGTCAAAATATTTTATTTTTTTAAAGTGTTAATAAAATTAATAGAGTATAAACACTACATTAAATCTCGAAAGGCCTCTGAGTAGTTAGTATTACAGTGTACAAAACTTGAGTAAATAGTTAAAAGAATATCTATTATGGCACATTCTGAAATTTACATCACCAGCGACAGTAAATGTAGAATAAAAAAGTCTGTGTAAGAAGTTGCTGTGTAGTTTTGTATAAGGCAATTGCGTAATGTAAAGCAAAACATGCAAAAAAATGTAAATCTAAACACCTTACTTGATGTTTCTAGAATGAATTAAAATTGTAATTATATATGTATATATATAATACTAATGTTTTCTCTTATTTCAATAATTCCACATAGTGCCTCTAGCACATGTAAAAGTGAGTAAAACTGTATACATTCTGATATATGTATTATAAAAGTACATGTATTAGCATATTTAAACAATATTAAGACTTTCTGTATTATGCTCCTGGTTATTTTCGCCCTTGTACCATTATACATGCATTGGCCTCGTGTTCATTTCACCCTCTAAGGATAGTTCAAAAGGGTTATACATAATGTATCAGCAGTTATTCTGATGACAGCTAGCCTAGCTAGCCAAAACATGTAAGTCAATGATAAAGCCATGGACTCCAAATGTTGACGCTCCATTTCCTATGTCCTCTATAAAATATAAACGTAACAAACTTTAACCACCATATTAATTCACCCTCCCTGTTCATGGATGAAATGGGTAAAAATGAAGCAAGGTTGAAAATTTCCTGGTATACAGTACATAAACATCAAGTTGTCAAAAACAAATAAACATCTATATTATCATGAACTGGTGACATCCTTGCCAACATTTTTCCGTCCAGGATATTGTGATTGTTCAAAATTCCTCGCTTCCAAATACTTCATTAAATCGACCATACTTTAATCAATACAAATTCTGTTTGTTCTGATGAAATAATTCGGTGATTCATCTTTTTTTCAAAATTTGATTTTGATTTAGTAAAAAACATCTTCCATCTGGCATAGGGGAGAGACATAGGACTCTGGTTGTTACAAGTTCAGTGAAGCAAGTAGAAGTTATTCCTTATTTTAATTCTAGCACTACTAATTTTACAAACTATAGTATAACACACCAATGCTAAAAACTAGGAACGAGTTAAAAGTTTGTGAAAATACTGTACACTGACTGCTCAATACATCACCAACACACAAATATAACTGACAGACAATATGTGTACAAATCATTAGAAGTAGCGTAAAGCAGTGAAAAAAGCATAGACTATTCAAATGTCCCATACCCATTCCTGAAAAATTAATTTCTAAATATTCTGATGTTTTATTTTACACCATGTATTGAAGAGTTGATTAGGACAATTTGTATCCATACATATTTAAATGAAAGACCAAAGTAATATAAAAAATAGTAAATTCGAAAAGAAATACTGGGAGTAATCAAATTTCATTTTGTTTTTATGTAGTATATTTAAAAGTAGCATCCAATGAGAATTCTGTTCTATTGTTTACACAGCATTTCAGCCGGGATGCACAGCTTCACAGTAGTACTGAGACATTGCATACAGATACTGAGTTTTCACTGAAATACAACAGAATCTCAACAATCATACAACAAAGTCAATACAAAGAACCCTTTGTGTTTTTATATTAATTATTTAAAGGATTTTGAATATTATTTTCACACTGTCTATACATGGACCTCCATTTTCAGAAACCACTTGGTGTTTTTCACATTGATATGTTTTTAAACAAAATTACTTTTGTCCTTCTTCATGTCTTAAGCTAAACTCTTCCTAAAATTTTCATGTTAAGAATAAAAAACTATATAGGTGCAAATATGTTGATAAGAAGAAAACATTCTTTTTGGTGCTGTTCTCAAGTGACTGTGATAGAGTTGCTGCTACCGTCAATGTTGGGAAGCTCTTTGCATTCAAATGAACCACTAATGATTTCACATAAAAAGGTTGGGTACTGCCAAACAGTTTCTTCCAGAGTAAGGTTCCATTCACCATGTGCAGGCACATCCCTGTTAAAATGTATAAAAATGTTGATTATGTCACATAATTCACATGGTCTGAAGGATCCCTAGTTTATTACAGAACCATACATGTGTTCATTAAAAGTATAACCAAACCCTTTAAAAACTACAAAACTTTATCACTCAGAAGAAATGATTGCCTCATGATTCCCACTATTTCCTTGATTATGGTAGAGTGAACAGAATACCACCAGAAAATCTGTATCAGCCATATATAAAATGTTATTTTCAAGAATGTTTATGTGATGAACAGAATCTCACATGAGTTTCAATTCCATATGAAATTTATGAAACTCCTTGTGAACTCATAATAAACTGATGGACTACTGACTGATGGACAATGGACTGATGGACAATGGATTGATGGACAATGGACTGATGGACTACTGAATGATGGACAATGGACTGATGGACTACTGACTGATGGACTACTGACTGATGGACAATGGACTGATGGACTACTGACTGATGGACTACAGACTGATGGACAATGGACTGATGGACTACTGACTGATGGCCTACAGACTGATGGACAATGGACTGATAGACTACAGACTGATGGACAATGGACTGATGGACTACAGACTGATGGACAATGGACTGATGGACTACTGACTGCTCGACTACTGACTGATAGACAATGGACTGATGGACTACAGACTGATGGACAATGGACTGATGGCCTACAGACTGATGGACAATGGACTGATGGACTACAGACTGATGGACAATGGACTGATGGACTACTGACTGCTCGACTACTGACTGATAGACAATGGACTGATGGACTACAGACTGATGGACAATGGACTGCTGGACTACTGACTGATGGACTACTGACTGATGGACAATGGACTGATGGACTACTGACTGATGGACTACTGACTGATGGACTACTGACTGATGGACTACTGACTGAAGGACAATGGACTACAGACTGCTGGACTACTGACTGATAGACAATGGACTGATGGACTACTGACTGATGGACTACTGACTTATGGACTACTGACTGAAGGACAATGGACTGATGGACTACTGACTGAAGGACAATGGACTGATGGACTACTGACATATGGAAGACGGACTGATGGACAATGGATTGATGGACAATGGACTGATGGACTACTGACTGATGGACTACTAAGTGTTGGACAATGGACTGATGGACTACTAAGTGTTGGACAATGAACTGATGGACTACTGACTGATGGACTATTAAGTGTTGGACAATGGACTGATGGACTACTGACTGATGGACTACTGACTGATGGACTACTAAGTGTTGGACAATGGACTGATGGACTACTAAGTGTTGGACAATGAACTGATGGACTACTGACTGATGGACTACTAAGTGTTGGACAATGAACTGATGGACTACTGACTGATGGACTATTAAGTGTTGGACAATGGACTGATGGACAAATGACTGATGGACTACTGACTGATGGACTACTGACTGATGGACTACTGACTGATGGACAAATGACTGATGGACTACTGACTGATGGACTACTAAGTGTTGGACAATGAACTGATGGACTACTGACTGATGGACTACTAACTGATGGACAATGGACTGATGGACAATGGATTGATGGACAAATGACTGATGGACTACTGACTGATGGACAATGGACTGATGGACAATGGACTGATGGACAAATGACTGATGGACTAATGACTGATGGACTACTGACTGATGGACAATGGACTGATGGACTACTGACTGATGGACAATGGACTGGTGGACTACTGACTGATGGACTACTGACTGATGGACAAATGACTGATGGACTACTGACTGATGGACTACTGACTGATGGACAATGGACTGATGGACAAATGACTGATGGACTACAGACTGATGGACAATGGACTGATGGACAAATGACTGATGGACTACTGACTGATGGACAAATGACTGATGGACTACAGACTGATGGACAATGGACTGATGGACTACTGACTGATGGACAATGACTGATGGACTACTGACTGATGGACAAATGACTGATGGACGACAGACTGATGGACAAATGACTGATGGACAATGGACTGATGGACAAATGACTGATGGACAAATGACTGATGGACAAATGACTGATGGACAATGGACTGATGGACAAATGACTGATGGACTACAGACTGATGGACAATGGACTGATGGACAAATGACTGATGGACTACTGACTGATGGACGACAGACTGATGGACAATGGACTGATGGACAAATGACTGACTGATTGACAATGGACTAAAGGATGACAGACTGATGGACAATGGACTGATGGACAAATGACTGATGGACTACAGACTGACTGATGGACTACTGACTGATGGACAAATGACTGATGGACTAATGACTGATGGACTAATGACTGATGGACAATGGACTGATGGACTACTGACTGATGGACAATGGACTGATGGACTAATGACTGATGGACTACTGACTGATGGACGACAGACTGATGGACAATGGACTGATGGACAAATGACTGATGGACTACAGACTGATGGACAATGGACTGATGGACGACAGACTGATGGACAATGGACTGATGGATGACCATGGTATGATGGAAAATGGACTGATGGACTACTGACTGATTGACAATGGACTAAAGGATGACAGACTGATGGACAATGGATTGATGGAAAATGGACTGATGGACTACTGACTGATGGACAATGGACTAATGGACTACTGACTGATGGACAATGGACTGATGGACTACTGACTGATGGACAATGGACTGATGGACTACTGACTGATGGACAATGGACTGATGGACTACTGACTGATGGACAATGGACTGATGGACTACTGACTGATGGACTACTGACTGATGGACAATGGACTGATGGACTACTGACTGATGGCCTACTGACTGATTGACAATGGACTGATGGACAATGGACTGATGGATGTACCATGGTCATACCACAGAATGATGGACAATGGACTGATGGATGTACCATGGTCATACCACAGAATGATGGACAATGACCTGATGGATGTACCATGGTCATACCACAGAATGATGGACAATGACCTGATGGATGTACCATGGTCATACCACAGAATGATGGACAATGACCTGATGGACAAGAGACTTTGGAAGAAGGGCAATAGGAACAGCCCCAACACGGTTGTTATTTTCATCAGATTAGTTTACAATCCAAATCCAACAATCCTCTCATTATGGAGATATATATATTACATATATTGCATTGGATAATATCATGTTATTAATATTATATATTAATCTTTACTCTTCTTAACCACACAGCAATGATATTCAGATAAACATGAAAAGTTCACAAGTACATTTGCAACCACAAAATAAATATACAGCACATATCTTTACAACAAAATCTCGACTGTTGCCCTATCTAATACTTACTCAATTTCTATTGATTCATCGTCGAGTCCACAAATTTCTGAGTCAAGTGAGTATGAGCAACATGTCAATGGAACATCCAATGGATTCTTCAGACTCATTTCAATCTTAACCTTCTGACCTAACTCCACGTTTTCTGGGCTAACCTGTAAGATAAATAAGCTAATATGTCACATTTATTACAATGTGTTGAAGACCTTTCAAAATCTATTAGAAAACATCTGTGACTTTGCTGAAATGTTGAAAACAATTCAAGTTCCCTACTGACCCCCATAAGCTTTTACACAGAAATAATTTATACAGATAACGCATTTTGGTGTTAATTTGGAGAAAAGTATACCATCAGTTTAGAAATAATTTTAATGGAACAATGTATCATATTTAATGTATGACAATCTGTTGATACAGTTTCATTACCAGTACGTACATGTAATAACATGTTTCTGTAAATGTGTGAGTTTCGATCAAAATCCAGTGACGAATGTACTTGTTAGAGCCCTGAAAATGATTTTCTAAGAATTGTAATGGCTACCTTGACCTTGACCTAACAACTCTGAAACTTCAACTTATCCAAGATATAACAGTCATTTGAAAGTGATTTGATGAAAATCCCAGTTCAATGTATTTGATGTTTTATAAGTGTGTGAAGTTTGATAAGAATTCCTCCAAAAAGAAAGATATGTTAGAGTGTTTTCATTGTTTGCTAAAAATCATAACAGTGCCCTTGACCTTGTCCCAATAAACAACTTTCATGAAACAGAAATTTGTCAAAGATAATTTGATACTATGTTGATACTGTGCAAGGAATGATCAAAATCCCTTAAGGAATGAAACTGCTAGAGTGCTGGCATAGTGTCATAAACACAGATGCAGGGAGAGGAAAACAACTCCCCCCCCAACCCCCCCAACCCAAACTTCCCCTCAGTTTCACATGTAGAGGATCAAGATCAACTCATAAAATCATTAGAGATGCAAGGTGAAAATAACAACAGGTGACTTGAATACCTTTATATCAATATCTGGTTTTCTCAGACGGAAAACCTCTTTCTCCACAACTACATGGGCAGATTCTTGGACAGAAGCCAAAGCCTTGATTTCCATTCCTTCTTGTTCTAACAGCTTATCCATATAGTCTTCCTTTGTAATTACCATCTTGAGAACTTTCTCTGAAATATTGCAAAAAAAAAAAAAAAGAATTATTGCTAGGAGTTTTAATGTGAGAACATTAATTTTTGAAATATGAATTCCAGGTATCAAAAAGTTCAAATATCATGACCATGTTCATTCCTAAAACATGCTTGTCATTGTTATTTATCAAACTTCTGTGACAGATTCACAATTATAGATAGTGTTGGTAGTCATGCATGCATGTTATTGAGACTGCAATTGATCAGATATTCATGTTTCACAGCCAAATATACAGTATCTGGTAAGTAAAAGCATTGTCATTTCTCATGAATTCTAGTTTTGAACTTTTTGTAACTTGTCAAAAAAATTTTCAGTTTGGCCCTGCATGCATGCAATGTATTTCTATATGAACTTGGTTATAAGATACTTAAAATGGCCTGACATATAAGATTACTCTAGAATGGTGATCTGTCCGAAGTGTTTAGGATACATATTTACATTAATCAGTTGGATGCTGTAGTTGTGCAGGGCAAAATTTGCTGGATACAACTTTATCACCTAAGTTATTTGGACCAAGTTTAGGTCACTCAGTTAGAAAGGGCTGATGTTTATGTCATACTAAAATCAAAAAAATTGCTCTATAGTGAATCAGACAGTTTGTACTACATTTGTTTTTTTGTATTTTATATCGTGTATGTTAGCTTTGTTGCCATACCATCACCAGCTTCTAGAGAAAAGGGGACGACCTTTTCTCTCTTGATGAGTTTTTTGTTTTCAATGACACCATCGTAACTCTTAGGGTGGACATCGATCACCATACTTTTGACAGTACGTTTCTCTTTAACATCAGAGATATTCTTCACTTTAATTCTGATTTCAACAGTGGTCCCCATCAAAACGTCATCAATGTCCGTGATGTCAATATCAATGTCCTGTAAAATGAATATTCATTTTTCAAACTGGACCAGAGTTGTAAGTCCTTATGGGAATTAAAAAGTACTGGTAAATAAAGTGTGCTAATTGGTTAAAAAGGAATAAAGATATCAATATTACTTTAATTTTCATTGTAAATCCTTATATTTCAGTGCCAAAAACATAATTAAATGCAGTTTTACTGATAATGAAAAACGAGAGGAGAAAAATGAAAAGACAAACTATCAAATTGTCTTCAACTGCATTCAAACACCTATGAATGAAGTTTTCCATGGAAGTCTTTTAAAATGAATATCATTTTGTCTCCTGAAATTAGTTGAAATTGATATGGGTGGTCATGAATTATGTAAAGGCAGCAAATTGATGTGGTTGAAACATTTAAATATTTTTTATCACCAAGCCAATGGAGCACACATCTTCCTAATTACAGAGTAATTAGTCTGTAATGGCTCATATAAAGCCTGTGGATTATTCTAGCAGTGGATTAGAATAGATTTTTTGGGGGACATTTTATAGAAACTTATCCTATGAACAAGTAAAACTTATCCGATAGGTAAAGGCAAATTTCTGATGATATCAATATCACACTGTCAAATCATTACAAATTCATGAGGGCTGATATTTAGACATCTTTTTTTCATTCAAATAAAATCTAACACACATAACTAGGGATCAGACATAGTAATTAAAATCCCATTTGATTCTTCTGTGAAATAGCAGTAACAGTAGGCTCTCACAATCCCATACACCACGTCTATAGCTATCAGCTATCTTCTGCTTCCAACTAATCCCTTCTGTGAAATAGCATACAATTGTACTAGAAATATCTAAGGGAAAAAATATTTTCTGAAAAATGTGATGTTATGCTTCGCAATCATAAAATCCAATAACCTTACTTGTCTTTAGGTGGTATTCATTGTTTTCAGTTTTTCTCAAAATTTAATATTCATGGCCACAAGAATTGGATGAAGATACCTCTATAATTGTCAGATGAATAATGATAATGAGTCCATCACATCTTATGATGGACATACAGAGACAAATGAAAGATTATACAAATGAAAACTTAAACACCAACAGGTTAAAAGTTGTTGATTATTGTTCATTTACAACAGTAATTATGAAAGTAAAAACTTGTTATGACATATCTGGTTTAATACAGCCATAATGCCATGTACAGGTAAACTATAAAGCAATATGAACAGGTGATCCTTACATAGGGAACCTCTATTATGTTTCTTTCAGCATCAGATGAAGAGGTAGCTTTCCGAACTGCCTCAGAATTCTCTTTTGTTCCTGTCAATGAAGATTTCATCTGAAAAATTATCTCAAATAATCATAATGCAATTTGACTTTCATTTCCTTTAGGGCTGAAAAAGAATAAATGAAAACTTCTGTATCAAAACAAAGTAATTTTTCTGCATAAGTCAACAATATTCACAAACTTAACCTAAGTAAGAGGTATACAGGCAAACTTATATTACACTCAACGGAGCAGAGAAAGTGGTCTTTATAAACAGGTGGTCTTTATATAGAAGTCCAATTACAATGAATTGATTTACATAGGAGACCAAGAAAGGGGCCAGTAGTGACTGGTGGCCTTTGTACCAGATGGGAGTACATCAGACTAAACATGCATATCTGGTTAAGCGCATCAATGCACATTCGGTGGTCAAGTTGAGACGTCAATTGAAACGTGATTCTGGTAGATATACATGTAATATTTACACTTTGTGTTACATTTGTTGACATATTATTAGTATGCCAAATTGTGGGATATGAGATTCCTTACAGTGATTCGGTCGGTTTAGGAATTAATAAATCTAGATGACTCCAGAAGGTTAACATTTTCATTTCGGCATCTATACACAGTGTACTGACATATCTGAAGTGACCTTCACGAAAAAAAAGTAACTTTACAAAGCTATCCAATTATAACAGAATAAATTTATTGTCAAACATATCATTTTGCCACAAAATTATTACTATATCTGTTACAAAAAACAAGTCAACACTTACTGACAGGATTGACTTCCATGTGTAATTTCCATAGTTAATCTATTATAAAACTGACTGCGAAAAAGCATCACTTTTTAATGAAATATCAATGTGCAATAAAATGCTTTTTTTCAAATGAACAAAAAAATAAATATTAAAAACATTGCAATGTGATATTGCACTTTTATATCAATCAAGTTTAATTTGTGACTATATATACGTTATGTTATTTATGAAGATATGGGGAACTATATTGTTACTGCTGTCGTCAGTATGTTGTTGTTAAGTGGGAAAATTAAATGGCTTTTCTTTGGTTTTAGTTTGTTTTATTTTTTTTAAAAAGATATTTTGAGAATGGAAATATTGACAAGAATAAGTTGTTACTAGATAGGGAATAAACTCTGATACAGAATTACCATTTTCATAAATTGAGACAAAAAAAAAACTATTTGAATATTAAAATGACTTAATACATACCTTCTGAGTACTTATAGCAGTGTGTTACATCTTCCCTGTTAGAGGATTCGGGATCCTTGGTGCTGATTTTCATTCCAACTCTAGAAATATTTGTTAGAGTTGTACCATCTAATCATTGATGTACACACTGAGAGAAACAAAAGGCCTAGTATTTTCCTAAATAACTACTAATTTTGTATTTTGAATTAATTCATTCCCCCTGTCCACCTATATGCCACTACTACAACTAATTTTTCAAAGTTAAAATACAAAATGTAACCTATTTTTCAGGTACCTAAACTAATTGGTTTCCATGTGTGCTAATTTTGCAAAACATGCACTGGCCTTATAACACCAGCCTAATGATACCTGTACAATATTAGTTTCACTGACAAGCAGAGGTCCAGACTTTAGAATGTTAAGGAATTATATGCATTTCATATTCAAAACAATAAAAATGAAATGATTAAGCAAAATACCTATGTGGTTTTACACTGAGCTTCTTCCAAATGTTGTCTTCTACTACCCATGATATACAATCTGCATTGACTTCAGCAAATATGAATCCTGTATCATAGTTCATGACACAATCTCCTCTCTTGATGGCAGTGAGAGGGGCTGGTCCACAGGCAAACATTCCTGCAAATAAACCAGGGAGAATTTACAACCTATTAAAGTGCATAATCCCAAAGACACAAACAAGAGGTCAAATGGTTTTATTCTGATGACTCCTATTTTTCATAGATTAATGTATCTGTGAATTGTTATGAGATTGCGACTCCTTTCCTAGCCATGAGAGTGGGTTAGTATTATTCCTTTGAACAAACTTGAGAGTCCTTCAACCCAGGATGCTACTTTACAAATATTAGGAACCTGCATGGACCTTGCGGTTATTGCAATGTTTTATGAAGATTTTTCACACATTTGACCTTAAAGTGATCGCAAGGCCCTTGGGTAATTTATTTGTACAAACTATCTTTCATTAATGCATGTATATCACTGGTTAAATCCAAATACCATGAACCTGGTAATCATGGTTCAATACAAATGTACGTATTTTCATGATTTGATTGAAAAAATCCATACCTACAAATCACACATTGGGTCCGTAAGTGTGTAAAAAATGTGGAAATATCTTTTTAATAAGAAAAACCACACTTTTTACGTAAATGTGGAATGACATTCATGGAAAAAATGTGTATTAAATGCCTAATTTGTAGGTAAAGGTAACTATACCAATTCTGAAGAACTGTTAATGTAGCACCTGCTTATTCCTTTCTTTCAGTAGTAAGTAATTAGAGAAGTACATTGATCAGCTATATGGATGGATTATCCAACACTTACACATGACCACTGAAAAAGTGTTTAGTTATTGTGGACAAGTTTTGTTGACATTCTGATAAATCAATCAATATCCCATAAATTAAGAGATTATTTTCTTAAAGCCCACCAATTTTTCATGTAGGATAACTTTCTGGGGATCTCAGCTATAAACGAGGTCGCAATCTAGATGAGTTCATTACAACATAAGCCTACATAGCCTTGAGGAATACCTGAGGTTCGTTGATCTTAGGCATGACACTTTACAAAAGTTAATCTGAATGGCATCCAATGGGATGCAGGACATGTGGCTCGCATATGTTATTCAGTAAGGTAGTCGCCATGTGTACTATGTCGAGATCCCATCCCATACTGACCCTGGCTGCTCATGGAGGGACATATCCAGTGAACAAATGAAAATACTCAGCTATTATCACATGGAAATTTGTGAACCTGGGTCCTAGGGACAGTCTGTTGTTACCAATTATCAATCCTTAAAGATGGTATTATTAGTATACTAATACATGAAGTTCATTGAAAATGTATATCTGATTGAATTATCTATCGACAACAAATTTAATATATCCACAGGAAAGAGTCAGACTCAGGGTAAACAATGCAGCATGCTTTTTCTCTCTTGATGGCAGGCTAATTATGCATATATGTACATGTACATTGCTAGCGTCTCAACAGTACCAACAAAATTGCAACACATAAATACAAGCAATGACCACTGAGGGTGGTGCAAGGCTAAAGCTTATCTATTCTATCATGGGAATCTCAATTGTTTCCATGTCTCAAGCAATGGGCTAATTTATCCAGCATCATATTTGTGTTTGTCCCTTCATGTCCAGCATCATTTGCAACTGAATAAATATTCATGCAGGCGGATCCAGATCTTGAATGTTTCCATGGTAACTATACTTGTCTTTGTATACCAAATTTTTGTGGAGTTTAGCATTTGTTGAGTGATTCACAAAGTCATTACTGTATATTTCCCTAGAAATATACTATATTAACCCTGAATTATTAAATGATGATGACAGTGAGCCTTGGTGAGATAAAGTTTCATTATCACATATAGTTTAGGTATAGTTTGTAGAAGACCTTCTATATGTTAGTTACCATTACTGGTTTCCTGTGGAGTCGCGTCAATAACTTGCCAACCATCATTACCAGGAGGAAGATCATCTCTTGCCATCCACACCTCATTCCAAACATGGAAATTCCTGCAAAATTACCAGGCATGTCACACAATATACATTATTATATTCTTAAAATTTTGAAACATAAATGCAAAATGTGGTCTTCTTTTGTTTCAGTGGAGCACTACATAATATATCTATGTAAGAATTCTTCACAGCATGCATCCATACCATATTACGGTATGTATATTAATAATAATAGTAATACTATTGTGATCGACACACAAACCATGACAACACCAATTTGTATGATAAATCATGACAACACCTTTTTGTGAAACAGACCACGACAACACCATTTTGTATGATAAATCATGACAACACCATTTTGTGAAACAGACCACGACAACACCATTTTGTATGATAAATCATGACAACACCATTTTGTATGATAAATCATGACAACACCATTTTGTGAAACAGACCACGACAACACCATTTTGTATGATAAATCATGACAACACCATTTTGTAAGATAAATCACGACAACACCATTTTGTATGATAAATCATGACAATACCATTTTGTGAAACAAACCACGACAACACCATTTTGTAAGATAAATCATGACAACACCATTTTGTGAAACAAACCACGACAACACCATTTTGTATGATAAATCATGACTACACCTTTTTGTGAAACAAACCACGACAACACCATTTTGTATGATAAATCATGACAACACCATTTTGTAAGATAAATCATGACAACACCATTTTGTATGATAAATCATGACAACACCATTTTGTATGAAAAATCATGACAACACCATTTTGTAAGATAAATCATGACAACACCATTTTGTATGATAAATCATGACAACACCATTTTGTATGATAAATCATGACAACACCATTTTGTAAGATAAATCATGACAACACCATTTTGTATGATAAATCATGACAACACCATTTTGTAAGATAAATCATGACAACACCATTTTGTATGATAAATCATGACAACACCATATGTAAGATAAATCTGAACAAGACCATTTTACATCATAAAAAATCCTTGCAGGTTAATTTTTCACAGGAATGTCTTTAGAATTGAATATAAAACATACAAGTAAGAAACTTTGTGTTCTGTTTTTGCTTAGTGCATCTTTAGATCTAAACAGACATAGAAAATCAGATGGTGAAAAGTTTGTATTACTGTAAACAAGTGGAGAACTGTAATATGGCAGTCAGGTTCTGAGTCATCCCTAGGCACTGTCATCTTAATACACTAATGTACCTATTTCTATTTCATTATCAAAGAAGAATATCACCATACCTAGGCAATGACTCTGAAGACTGTATTTATTATCATAAGTAATGGAATAAAGGGCACAAGACTGTCTTATCCTTACATAAACTAAGTTGGGGTGACTCTTGGTCACACCTTGTAGATCAAAGATGACAAGAGGCCCAATGGGCCTGTATCACTCACCTGGTATTCAATGTTCATCAAAAATACAATCAATGTTCCTCATAAATACATAAACATGTGCACCATTGGCATTCAAAGTGGGCACGTCCAATTGATTTCAACCAATTACCACAACAATATGTAACATCTAACACTCAGCTCTAAAAAGTGGCAAGTTATCAAGCTAATCAGGTTGTAAACTTGATTAAAGGTAAATGTCACTTCTTTTTTCTCAAAATTTGTCGGAATTTGACGGAGAAATACCTTTCTGCCAGATATTCTACTTCTCAAACTTTTGGTCTACCAGAAGAAGTCTTTCACAAGTTTAAACAAATTTAACTCTTGTGATCTTGTATTTTGGGTCAAGATCATTTCTTTTCACAAACTTTTTCAGGATGCATACTAGAAACATATCAGTCAAATGTTATGCATCAGGTATTTTTTGTTATATCATGATTTTCAGACTTTCGGTTTACTAGAAGAAGTCTTTTACATATTTTGACAAAGTTGACCCTTATAACCTTCAATAGGGTTCAAACCATTTCTTTTGTAAAAATTATATCAGGCTTCATTCAAGGGGTCTACCAGCCAAATATAATGCTTCTAGGCCTTTTGGTTAATATCAGGAGAAATTGTTTAAAGGTTGTCAACAAATATGACCCCTGTGACCTTGCATATTGGTAAAGGTCTTTTTTTTTCTAACCTTGGCTGATTTCATTCCAGCGATCTACCAGCCAAATATCATGCTTTTCCATCCTTTTGGTTGATCAGAAAAACTTGTTTTAATGCTGTAACAACTTTCACCTCTGTGACCTTGAATATGGGTCAAGGTAATTTTTTTTTCCAGATTTTGTTATGAATTGATACTAAGATCCACTCAGCCAGATACTATACTCTTTGTTTAATCAGAAGAAGTTGTTCCAGATGTTTTAACAAATTTGGCCCTTGAGACGTTGAATACAGGTCAAGGCCATTTTTTTCACAAACTTTGTCAGGTTTCATCCTTGAAACCCACCAGCCAAACACCATCTTTCTGGGCCTTTTGGTTGGTCAAAAGAAGATGGCCATTTGGGCCAGTGAGCTAAACAATGAAGCCTCTGCGAAATAGAGGAATTTGTCCCTCAAAACACTCTTTCACATTGGATTTATTATCTAAAGTCATTTAATGTAGAAAAACCAAGTTTCATTTCTATCATGTACAAAATTACTTTAATATATTATTTTATGGAAGATCAAGAGGCGACACAGGTAATGTGTAAGAACTAAACACATGAATGGAGCTTCATTACATTATACATGTCAAATTATAGTCCATTTAGATACAATTAATCATGACATCAAGACAATGATATTTAACATACCAAACAGAGTCAGTTGAGTTGCCCTCGTCCCTAATGTAATCATCTTTATCATCAGGATCTGGCCTGTACACGGTGTCAATGGTGATACTTCTATCCGTGTCATGAGCAGAAGCAAAATTTGTTATACTCCTACAAGGCAAGCCCAATGCTCTGCAAACTAAACAAAAATAAACAACATAGGATTCCTTATTTGGTTCGGATGTCAATGTAGATGTAGAGAGTAATTAATACATAGTATGAGTAGTCCTCTTAACTTGGTACTATCTGTAATTGTGAAACACTGTGCTAATTATTCTTTTGCTCATGTCTTTATTCCTCCAAATCATGAGATATAAATAACATTGAGAACTGGTTTACTGGGTTATCACTGACATATGTGTTTCCCATTTGCTGTCCCAGTATTGCAACAGTAATAGTGGGTTAGTTTAATTGGTTCAACAGTTTTGTGAGATCAATTTTAATCCTCATGCCACATGATTCATTCTGTTTCTACCTCGTTTGCTCTGTTGCATAAGATAAGATTTATTATTCACTAATGACTGGATACCTGATTAATATTTCCCTAAATGTTGTAGATACAAATACTAAAATACCTCTGACTGTAGTTATAGTCTATATTGTAAGAAAACACTTGATGGCTTGATTATTTCTGTAAAATATTTATTGAAAATTTCATAGTTTTCGTAATTTTTATCCTTATATAAGTTTGAATAAACTTTAGACCAACATTTCAGCATTGTGACTGTTAAATTGCACTTAATTTATTGTTGTTGACTTTGATGAAAAACCTAGACATTTAGTTTCCATTCCATATCTAATTATCATCCCAATTATACCAAAATCGCTACCAAAGTTCAAGCCAAAGTTGTCAATTCTTTTTGTATATGACATCTTCTGTCGTCATCCAAAATTTACATGTTTCTGTGTTACAGCTAAGGATTCAATAAGATCAGATAAAAACAAGAAAAATACAAACAATGTAAATCACATAAAATCACCTGTGATCACTTAATCCAGAGAATACTTAGTACTGTCCATTGATTACCTGTTATGTAGTCCAGAGAACACCTGGTACTGCCCACTGATTACCTGTTATGTAGTCCAGAGAACACCTAGTACTGCCCACTGATTACCTGTTATGTAGTCCAGAGAACACCTAGTACTGCCCACTGATTACCTGTTATGTAGTCCAGAGAACACCTGGTACTGCCCACTGATTACCTGTTATGTAGTCCAGAGAACACCTGGTACTGCCCACTGATTACCTGTTATGTAGTCCAGAGAACACCTAGTACTGCCCACTGATTACCTGTATCCTGTAGTCCAGAGAACACCTGGTACTGCCCACTGATTACCTGTTATGTAGTCCAGAGAACATCTGGTACTGTCTATTGATTACCTGTACCCTGTAGTCCAGAGAACACCTGGTACTGCCCACTGATTACCTGTTATGTAGTCCAGAGAACATCTGGTACTGTCCATTGATTACCTGTACCCTGTAGTCCAGAGAACACCTGGTACTGCCCACTGATTACCTGTTATGTAGTCCAGAGAACATCTGGTACTGTCCATTGATTACCTGTACCCTGTAGTCCAGAGAACACCTGGTACTGCCCATTGATTACCTGTATCCTGTAGTCCAGAGAACACCTGGTACTGCCCATTGATTACCTGTATCCTGTAGTCCAGAGAACACCTGGTACTGCCCACTGATTACCTGTTATGTAGTCCAGAGAACATCTGGTACTGTCCATTGATTACCTGTACCCTGTAGTCCAGAGAACACCTGGTACTGCCCACTGATTACCTGTTATGTAGTCCAGAGAACATCTGGTACTGTCCATTGATTACCTGTACCCTGTAGTCCAGAGAACACCAGGTACTGCCCATTGATTACCTGTGACCTCTTGTCCAGATAATACCTATTCCTATTTATATCTAATTACCTGTGACCACTTGTCCAGAAAATACCTAGTGCTGTGTATATATAATTTTCTGTTGCAACAGTTCAGAGAATACTAGCAATGTTCATAAATTACCTGTGACCACTAGTCCAGAGAACACCCAGCACTGCCCATACTTGACAGGTTCACCAGTCCTTGCAAACTTTTTCAGAATCTTGACACTGCCATTCCAAGATGTGGGTTTTTTTCCATCACCATATTCCCCGTTCCATTTTCCAATCAAAACACCAAAGTCATCATTGTTATTCACCTGGAGAAGATTGATAACAACACTTGACATATTTGAAATCTATTATAATATCAGCATTTCAAATGAGCAATTTAAAGCGTTACCTTTATTAACAATATAAATAGAGTGGGGCCTCATATATCCATTCACTGTTAATCTGGTTCCCCCAGTATCCAGTCAGTAATACTAAAAAATCAATCTTCCTGACATTAATTTTTGCCCCTCTAATCAGGTTACCTCAGTATCTGTCTCTTCTTTAGGTAATACCTAATCTAGAATAAATGGTAATCCAGCACCTCAAAAATCAAATCAAATACTGATCTTCTGAAAATTGCTCCACTGTGATGTGGATATATGTCAAAGCGTATACATGATACATACAATTCTTGATATCGCTCTCGCAATTTTGATGGGGTTTGCCATATTTGTTTCTACTGTCCAGTCAAATGCCTTGTTAAGGATCATGATACAAATATCCAAGATCCCTTCCTTAAACTGAAACAAAGCATATTACTCATTTAATTGCAGTGTATCATTTATGCATCTCACAATTTTTGATGTTGATATCTTTATTCGCTGATAGTTTAATTAAAGTTGATGACAAATCTGATTAATTTTATACAGTCATTGAGATCTAAAACACAACTGAGTTTCTGATATGGACTTGGTCCAGCTAAATATCTTAATTTTTTTACCTCTCAGAATGTCCATCTCTTACCTGTCCAAAATTCCATGGTTTAGCGTGTATCCGATTGTGGGTGCCTTGATAGACAAATCCCTTTGCGTCCAGCACATACTCATCCAACAGCTGTTTTGTAGGGAAGTAGGTGGTGTCATCTACAAAGTCAATCCTAATCATTAGATTATTCTCACAACACGTATTATCTTCCTATTTGCTTAACTGAATTTGATTGGTTGATATTCATATAAGTTAACTCAATATTCTAATAACTCTTGTATAACTCCTCAATATTCTGTCAATCCATCTGCTCATGTTTTCTTTTACTCATAATATTCTATTCTATAAACGAACGGATGGGTGGATGGACAAGGCAGTGACTATATGCTCCCCTAAACATTTTTGAGGAGCCTAACAACAGGCTCTGACAGCCTGGAATCACAGGAAAGAAGACACCTAGATGGCCTTGAATCACAAACATGAGGTCCATGGACCCCTTCGGTCATCTTATCATAAAGAGCTACACATGAAAGAGGCCAGATAGGCCTAAATTGCTTGACTTCTCCACAGTTTACAAGGAAGTCACTGTAGATTCATGCAAGCTTGAAACCTTAATCCTTATACATATGCTACTCCACAAATATCATGATTCCCAACCTATTCACAGGTCATAAGGTCAATTATTGGAATAAATTTGGTAGCTCATCATCATATTGTGGTATAGAACCAATATCAACAGCCTTGACCTATTTAGTTTAATATATTTGACCCCTGTGACCTTTAACACAGGACAAGGTAAATCATATGAACAAAATTGATAGTCCTTCAGCCCAGCATGCCACAGGCCCAATATCAGCACCTTTGGTCTTTTGATTATTAAGAAGAAGTTGTTGAAAGATTTTGACATATTTGACATAGGCATAATATGAGCACCCTGGACAATTTAGTTATTGAGAAGAAGTTGTTTGAATGGAAAGTTTATGCATGGTGCACGTCACTCAGCAGAAGATGACGGAAAAACACAATGGCTATTGGTCATTCTTACCATGTGGGTCAGATGACCTAAACACAACAGGGTCAGACAACCTGCAACCACAGGAAATTGGCCTGTAATCACAGAATGGCAGAGGCTTTGATTGCCTCCTGATAACTGGACTATTAAAGCTATTTACAATCTCATTCTAAGTATATATGTATAGGTAACAAATGTGTGTCCATTTTGGGCTCAAATTCTTAGCATTAAGTGTCCATCATCTTTTCTTAGATATTGGCAGATTATGTCTGTTTTTCCCTTAAACTTGCCTGTTATGAACACAGTCCCAAACATTTTATATCTTAGAAGTAATCATTGATCAGAAGTAGGATTTTCAGAACCCGTCACAAGCAGGGCCATCTATGAAGCATGAATATATTCCACTCTTTAAGAAATTAATTAGAATTGATAAGAATAATTTTGGTTAATTACCAAAGATTTTGAATTTCTATCCCCCTCCAGAAAATGTTGAATGAAGCATTATTTTTAACTTCCCAAGACAATCTTTTAGATGGTTGATAAAAATGAATTACCAATAAAGTAACCTCTCTACTTCCAATAATGACAGAAATCCCACATATTTCCTTGATACCTGATATAAAAAGACCACATGATTTGATAACATTATCAAGTTATATACCTGGACACCACGGGTTGAGAAGAATGACAATATCCTGTTGTGAGTTATACTGTAGAACTGTTGCCTCTTCTCCCTTTTCTATGGTAAAGGTCTGGACAGACATGAGCCAGTGACCGATGATAATATTGGGTGGGATACTAATCTCCACCACAATGGACTTTTTCTCTATGGTTACAAGCTGCGCATACCATTCTTTCCTCTTTTTCGAGTCACCATCCTGTTGATTCTCATCCAGCTGGAAGCTGCACCATGTGTCTTTGGTAATCCCATTACCTGAAGAACGATAAATTCTTCTGTCATGAATCTGTTAAATACTGCTAATATTACAGCTTTACAAAGAGTATCAATAAGTGTGAATTGTAAAAGTGTATTTCATAAAACAACCACAAAGTAATCTGGTAATAAAAACATGCAAAAACAATAAGCCCACCCATATCAATTGCTGGGTAGTGGAAGAAGAAATCACAAATACCATTTAACACTATCCCTTGAATTTGTGTTTGTCTTCTTCTAATAAGCCCACCACCTGCCACTGCCTCAGAGGTAGTATGCTGTCCTCTAATGTGCCCATCACTAGACCCCATATCAGAGGTAATGTGCTCCCTTCTAATAAGCCCACCACCTGACATTATGTCAAAGAAATTGGGCTTTCATCCCGTAATAAGCCCAACTGCTGGTTTTTTTTGTCAGAGGCTAAGTGCTATCCTCCTGTGATAAGCCCACCCAGTCTTCCTGTCAGAGGTATTGTGCTGTCCTCCTGTGATAAGCCCACCCAGTCTTTCTGTCAGAGGTATTGTGCTGTCCTCCTGTGATAAGTCCACCCAGTCTTTCTGTTAGAGATAATGTGCTTTTCTCCTGTGATAAGCCCACCCAGTCTTTCTGTAAGAGATAATGTGCTTTTCTCCTGTGATAAGCCCACCCAGTCTTTCTGTTAGAGATAATGTGCTTTTCTCCTGTGATAAGCCCACCCAGTCTTTCTGTTAGAGATAATGTGCTTTTCTCCTGTAATAAGCCCAAATACTGTCTTTCTGTTAGAGATAATGTGCTTTCCTCCTGTAATATGCCCAAATACTGTCTTTCTGTTAGAGATAATGTGCTTTCCTCCTGTAATATGCCCAAATACTGTCTTTCTGTTAGAGATAATGTGCTTTCCTCCTGTAATATGCCCAAATACTGTCTTTCTGTTAGAGATAATGTGCTTTCCTCCTGTAATATGCCCAAATACTGTCTTTCTGTTAGAGATAATGTGCTTTCCTCCTGTGATAAGCCCAAATACTGTCTTTCTGTTAGAGATAATGTGCTTTTCTTCTGTAAGACTGACTTTCTGTTAGAGATAATGTGCTTTCCTCCTGTAATATGCCCAAATACTGTCTTTCTGTTAGAGATAATGTGCTTTCCTCCTGTAATAAGCCCAAATACTGTCTTTCTGTTAGAGATAATGTGCTTTCCTCCTGTAATATGCCCAAATACTGTCTTTCTGTTAGAGATAATGTGCTTTCCTCCTGTAATAAGCCCAAATACTGTCTTTCTGTTAGAGATAATGTGCTTTCCTCCTGTGATAAGCCCAAATACTGTCTTTCTTTTAGAGATAATGTGCTTTCCTCCTGTGATAAGCCCAAATACTGTCTTTCTTTTAGAGATAATGTGCTTTCCTCCTGTGATAAGCCCAAATACTGTCTTTCTGTTAGAGATAATGTGCTTTCATTCTGTGATAAGCCTACCCAATGTCTTTGTGTCAAAGATAATGAGCTCCCCTCCTTTAATAAGTCCACCCTCTGGTGTTGTTTTAGAGGTAATGTGCTGTCCTTAATAAGACAGAGCCCTGACTCTGAGTCAGAGGTAACATGCTGTACTGTAATAAGACAGAGCCCTGACTCTGAGTCAGAGGTAACATGCTGTACTGTAATAAGACAGAGCCCTGACTCTGAGTCAGAGGTAACATGCTGTACTGTAATAAGACAGAGCCCTGACTCTGAGTCAGAGGTAACATGCTGTACTGTAATAAGACAGAGCCCTGACTCTGAGTCAGAGGTAACATGCATGTGTACTGTAATAAGACAGAGCCCTGACTCTGAGTCAGAGGTAACATGCTGTACTGTAATAAGACAGAGCCCTGACTCTGAGTCAGAGGTAACATGCTGTACTGTAATAAGCCCCTTTGAGACTTTGTGATGGAGGTAATATGTTGTCACCTTGTAATTAGACCACCCCCTGACTTTTTTGCCATACATGTTTGAAATACAGTATTTTCTATTTTTTATGACACTAAAGATACCATTTCAACATTCATAATTATTACATGCAAATGAAAAGCAGAGTCCAATAAAATTCATCTTTTACAGAATGTGAAAGAATTTTGAAAATCAATAGTAATACTGAAGCAGGCTTGGAAATCGAAATACTGATGGTCATATCATTGAATATTAAATCAAACAGTGCAAAACGGTGACTGAATAACTTCTCAATAATGTTTGACTTGATAGGAAGGTATTTCCGATCAGGAATCTACATGTATAATGCAGTATTTACAATGTTTTTGTCTCGTTGATTACTGTAGACTCCCTGCTTGTTTTACCTATTGACATTATGAATTTAACATCATGATCCTTCTTGCTAAATTCCCTGTCCAGCTCTAAACGGATCTGAAAAGTGGACCCCCTCCTCAAAACTAGATCTGGCTCGTCCTTTCGCTGTGTACATTTGAACATGTTAGTGCGATGCTTCTTGGTGTTGGCTGGTAGCTGAAAATCTATGCACTCTACGTGAAGATCTCCCTTGATTTCCTCTTCTGTAGCATCCTCCAAAGTGGAAAGAACTGCAACATCAGTGTATATGTTTCTTTTAAGAGGAGGATCAGAAACTTCTGATGGTATGTTTCCTTTCACTTTAACATTGAATTTATAAAGAAATAAATTGACTATGAACTTTATTGTTGGTCAGTGGGAGAATTATCTAATACAACAGATGTGTTTTTATTATTAGAGTTCAGGTTTTTGGTTGCCTTACCAATCACACGTTTTTTAATCAGGATTGATTCCCATGTTGTCACACACATGTGATTCCAAGCATTTACATATCTATACAAAGGCAAGGTCAAAAACACAAACATATCAAAATTTTCATTTATTAGGGTTTGTTTGGATCCACGAAAAAAACAGGCAAAGAAGCCAGTTACATTTATATATTATTTGAATTAAGATGATCATCTTAATGTTAACTTACATGCGCTCAAAACATTGACCTTTGATCTTAGAGAAGCTAGTTTCTCTTCTTTTGCTTTGATTTTTTCTTTGACTTTTTCTGGTTGCATTTTCTTTTCTTTTTCAACTCTGGGTTCCTTTGGTTTGGAACCATATTGTTTACACTTGACAGGTTGCAATACTTCTTTCTTAACTCGTGCTGTTTTGGATTTCTCATCTGCAGGAGCAAAGCCATACCAATTTCCATTTCTATATGCTTTCGTGTACATCCTAGAATGAAATTAAATTACATCAAATTGGAACACTGGAAAGCACAACATAAGTGACCAAGGAAATCATGATGAGTTGAAGGCATTCATTTATGAAATAGTGATAGTAAACATGAACTGTCTAAAATCAAGATGCTGCCTGTGAAACATTTAATCAGGTCAAAATATGAGCATGCATATAAAATAAGGACAAATAGGAGCCTTCATACGAGAATGATCCATCCAATACTTTTCAAGAAATAGAGATAACAAAGATTCATAATCAAAATGGCTGCCTGTCAGCCATTCTATTTTTCTGGTCAGTCTCAAAATGATAAAGGGTACCACAAGGGGCCTAGGGGAATCTTCTTATTATGAAATTTTAAAAAGATTCATCCAATACTTTTGAACAATTACCAATAGCAAGCTTTCACTTTCAAAATCTAGGATGTCTGTCAGCCATTTTGAATTTCAGATTAGACTCAATATTTAAAGGGCACTTATGTCAGAAATAACCAGCAAGTACTTCTCAAGAAATAGCAATAACAAAACAGACAAAATTTCTTTTAGCAATAAAAAGGAACTGTTTTAAGAATGATGGCAAACCTAATGATGGTTGGCTATTAAACAATAATGAATGTTTTGTTGTTTTTGTCATTATTTTACAACCACTGACAGTGAAAGCTACATTTGTAATCTGAAGAATCACAAGCAAAATACCTGTATATCATTTCTATTTGCTGGATGTAGATTATCTTATACAGGTTTACATGATATATAAGAGGCTCAACGGGCCTGTAACATTCACATGAGACTCTGCAGTTAATAATCAGGTGATATCATTGAAAGTGTACACATTCATAGTCATCCCAAACATCAGTAGGGGGATGTAAATAGTGGGTAGTAGGGGGAAGTAAATAGTGGATAGTAGGGGGAATTAAAAAGTGGGTAGTAGTAGTAAATATTGGGTAGTAGGGGGAAGTAAACAGTGGGTAGTAGGGGGAAGTAAATAGTGGGTAGTAGTAGTAATAAGTGGGTAGTAGGGGGAATAAACAGTGGGTAGTACGGGGAAGTAAATAGTGGGTAGTAGGGGGAAGTAAATAGTGGGTAGTAGGGGGAAGTAAATAGTGGGTAGTAGGGGGAATAAACAGTGGGTAGTAGGGGGAAGTAAATAGTGGGTAGTAGGGGGAAGTAAATAGTGGGTAGTAGGGGGAAGTAAATAGTGGGTAGTAGGGGGAAGTAAATAGTGGGTAGTAGGGGGAAGTAAATAGTGGGTAGTAGGGGGAAGTAAATAGTGGGTAGTAGGGGGAAGTAAATAGTGGGTAGTAGGGGGAAGTAAATAGCGGGTAGTAGGGGGAAGTAAATAGCAGGTAGTAGGGGGAAGTAAATAGCAGGTAGTAGGGGGAAGTAAATAGTGGGTAGTAGGGGGAAGTAAATAGTGGGTAGTAGGGGGAAGTAAATAGCAGGTAGTAGGGGGAAGTAAATAGTGGGTAGTAGGGGGAAGTAAATAGCAGGTAGTAGGGGGAAGTAAATAGTGGGTAGTAGTAGGGGGAAGTAAATAGTAGGGTAGTAGGGGGAAGTAAATAGCAGGGTAGTAGGGGAAGTAAATAGGGGTAGTAAAGTAAATAGTGGGTAGTAGGGGGAAGTAAATAGTGGGTAGTAGGGGGAAGTAAATAGCAGGTAGTAGGGGGAAGTAAATAGTGGGTAGTAGGGGGAAGTAAATAGTGGGTAGTAGGGGGAAGTAAATAGTGGGTAGTAGAGGGAAGTAAATAGTGGGTAGTAGGGGAAGTAAACAGTGGGTAGTAGGGGGAAGTAAATAGCAGGTAGTAGGGGAAGTAAATAGTAGGGGGAAGTAAATAGGGGTAGTAGGGGGAAGTAAATAGTAGTAGGGGGAAGTAAATAGTAGTAGGGGAAGTAAATAGTGGGTAGTAGGGGTAGTAGGGGTAAATAGAAGTAGTAGGGGAAGTAGGGGGAAGTAGTGGGTAGTAGGGGGAAGTAAGTAGTAGTGGGTAGTAGGGGAAGTAAATAGTGGGGGAAGTAAATAGTGGGTAGTAGGGGAAGTAAATAGTGGGTAGTAGGGGAAGTAAATAGTGGGTAGTAGGGGGAAGTAAATAGCGGGTAGTCGGGGGAAGTAAATAGTGGGTAGTAGGGGGAAGTAAATAGTGGGTAGTAAATAGGGAAGTAAATAGTGGGTAGTAGGGGGAAGTAAATAGTGGGTAGTAGGGGGGAAGTAAATAGTGGGTAGTAGGGGGAAGTAAATAGTGGGTAGTAGGGGAAGTAAATAGTGGGTAGTAGGGGAAGTAAACAGTGGGTAGTAGGGGGAAGTAAATAGCAGGTAGTAGGGGGAAATAAACAGTGGGTAGTACGGGGAAGTAAATAGTGGGTAGTAGGGGGAAGTAAATAGTGGGTAGTAGGGGGAAGTAAATAGCAGGTAGTAGGGGGAAGAAAATAGTAGGGGGAAGTAAATAGTGGGTAGTAGGGGGAAGAAAATAGAAGGTAGTAGGAGAACGAAAGAGAACGAATAAGAACTCCAGTGGGTAGTAGGGGGAAGTAAATAGTGGGTAAATAGTGGGTAGTAGGGGGAAGTAAATAGTGGGTAGTAGGGGGAAGTAAATAGCAGGTAGTAGGGGGAAGTAAACAGCGGGTAGTAGGGGGAAGTAAATAGTGGGTAGTAGGGGGAAGTAAATAGTGGGTAGTAGGGGGAAGTAAATAGTGGGTAGTAGGGGGAAGTAAATAGCAGGTAGTAGGGGAAGTAAATAGTGGGTAGTAGGGGAAGTAAACAGTGGGTAGTAGGGGGAAGTAAATAGTGGGTAGAGGTAATATGCAAGTTTCTTGTCATTTGGTAGACAATACAGAAATAAGGGTCACTGTTACCTAGATTTATCTGACCTTTACCTGCCAAGAATCTGATGCCCCTGACATAGAGCACTCTAAGCTATCATAGATCACTGTGTAGAGACAGTTTATCTATACTTGTTTTAAAATACGTTTCCTTCTAAATAGAAGATGCAACAAAGAGTTTGAATTTTTTTCTGATTTTAGGGTTTAACTTGCTTCTTGTATCATAGTTACCTAACTAGCTTGTGGAATTGCTTGCAGTGTGTGTCAGTCTCAAGTTACATCCATGTTTGTATTGTTTCTGTCTGTCTTCAAAAACTATTTTGTACAGTTACAAACTTCTGTTACTGTGTGTCATAAAATTAAATTGATTGTAAACTATTCTATAAAAAACAACAGCTTATGATTATAACACAGATAATGACATAGTTAACTTTCTGGATAACAAGTTAAGAACTATACAAACTAGGTCAATACAACTGCTGTTTCTTGTGTGGATGACCATGACAAAGGATCAACATGCTTTCTCATTGTCTTGTCCATATGGTAAACTACCTGGTTCGCTAGACAATTGATCAGAAACAACAGCTTGTGGTGACATCATCAGTGACAATTTCATTTCTCTTCATCAATAAAATTTAGATATAAAAGAGAAATTGAATAAATTTTCATTTCTTTTAAACAATTTCTAAACTTTAGATTTTAAATACTTCAAAATAAAGATGTCTTGGAGATATGCATGTATATATTCTGGTAAATTAACTTTTACATGCAGAGTAAACATTTCAAACACAACAACCTAATTATTCAAAGCACTTTGTAAAGTGTCTATATATACAGTAGTTCAAGAAAATGTAGCTGAGGTATAAAAATCTAAGGATTTATTGAAGAGTTGCATTTAAAAGGAGTTTAAGTGTAAGTACAGATGACATCATATTTCATCAGTTTATATTCTGTGATTTCTTTGAAATTAGATAGACAGTACCTGTAATTGAACATCACAACAATGTTCTCTCTACAGTGAGATACATATAATGTATATACTATAGAAATGTCTACAGAATGGCACAAACAGAGGAAAACTTAAAGTGTAAGAATATTCAGGAATGAACTGAATAGACAACAAATCTTTCATGATGACTCTTGTCTCTTTAATGTCAACTTAGTAAAAATTTTGACAAAAAAGTCCTTGATTAAATTATATGCAGGAGTCCATCATGATTTGCCTTTAATATATAAATGTATGTGAACTTGAGAATTCCAATCATCATCATCAGCAACAGCATCATCATCACCATTGTCATCTAGTTAATATATAATGCTTCATCCAACTAGACAGTGGTCTGGTAAGAACGAAACATTTTGACTAAGATCATATTATATAGGTCATCATGAGGTGATTTATCTTTATAATTAATTGATTTAGAGAATATAGTTTGGCATCGACAATATTTGTTACATATATTTGTTAGACTAAACTGTTTTGAAATTAACAAAGTATACACTACAGCTGAAAGCTGAACCCCTTAAACTAGCAACTTTTAAAAGCATCTTTGGTCTTATATTTTAATTGCATATTTTTTAAAATCTGAGAATCAATTTTTTCTTTAAATTTTTAAGTCCAATGATTCTGAGTATATAATACTTATTATTTTCTGTCCGTTTGTGTTTGACGTATCAATTTACTGGCCATGCTAAAACTCTTCAATTCATTTTCAATCGATAAAACTAGATTTAACATTTTAAAAATCACTTTGGACGTATATGTAGTTGTTTATGATGATCGTTGTACAATAACATTGAATTTGTACACACATTCCTATGTATATATTGTTGTTAGTTACGGAGTAAACACTATCTACAGTTTGATGGCGATGATCAGACGATGTGAACAGTATAGAGTATCGTAGCTCAAATCGATATCTAAATATAGATATCTGAGTATTGAAGACAGTACACGTAGTATACTGGTAAAATCGTCTGACAGAGATAATCCGCTAAATACGTATTTAGTGGCACAAACAAGCTTACCTGGATTTATGTGTCGTAGCAAACGGTAATTATTACAGTTATGCTCCCGACAGTAAGTAGCACCGGTCAGCTTGTACGTCCAGATCAACGTATACACGGGTGGACAACCACTAGCACCTGCACACGAGTCGCTTGTTACTGTACAGGAGGTG